ATAACCCGTTGGATTATCTGGGTGAAAGTGATACATGTTCAGAGGTCTAGAGCTTAGAAGAAATTGTGGATACCATCGGAAAAAGCAATGTTGATGAAGATACTATACCTTTGGAACCAGTTATGCGTAAGGAAACACTTATCACATCTATAGCTTTTCACAATTTTATGATGCAGTTCGAAAAGACAACACCAAAGCTCTTGGATGCAATAAGAAAAGTTAGAGATGAGCTTAAACAAGATATATATTTTTTAAAACAGAACACAAATAGAATTATATTTCAGTAAATTGTCTTAGATATATTTGTACTTTTAAAGAATTATTAATTTATGATATTAATGGGACCATACATTTATATATGGGTCTTCTGAAAATATATTATCTTATCAAAATTTGTGATTTTTTCCATTGGTCCAAGTCGAAATCAAAAAAAATATTACTCTAAAGAGATTATTAATTTACCGACTATTAATACAATGAGAATTGGAAAAGGACAAACAAATTAATGTGGAAATAGAAACTCTGCAAAACATTCATAATGTGAACGACATACTGACATTTAAAAAAAAAATCAAGTCTAGGTAACGATTCAAGATTTACATTCTCAATTTTTTTTATAATGATATTATTTGTTTAAATATTTTTTGATTGCTATAAGAAAAAATATATTAGTACATCTAACATAGCAAAATTAGTTTCAAATTCATTTTCATAATTATATTCAAATATTGTTATATATAAATAATGTATATTATAGAAACATCTGATTATATATATGATCCATACATTTAAGGTTATTAGCGCCAAACTTGTTATATTTCTTAAAATATAGGGTCAACTCAAATATTTATTGTGATTTTAATATCTTTCACATTTATATTTGATATCGAAAATACTGAATTAAATCTTCGTAATAAGAGTTACATCCTCTCCCTGTTTGTGTATATGCTATTATTACATTCCGTACTTCTTCTTTAAACTTTTATTTGTCTAGTTGGATTATGCACAATTCTTAAAAGATATTACCATTTTTATTATAATATTTATATTATTTGATGTTTAATCTTAAGTATTGGAAACAATTTAGGAAATAAATAATTAATAATGAGAATAAAACAAAAATAGTAATTATTTTTATTTGATATGTTAAAAAAAAAAAAAATTAAAATACGTAGCATATGTGGTCACTACTATGTTGAGACATGCCAAAAACATTATAATCACTACTACCTAGAAAGTCCAAGATTTATTTTTTGATGAAATTGATTTTTGAAAATTTTAAACATCTGAGTTATACTATTTCTTAAAATATTTTATGTTTCAAAAATTCTACAGAATTATAGTTTGTCACAAATTTGATAAATATAATAAAATTTTCTTTTATTCTTATATTTTGTGTCTGATCAAATAATAACTCATAAATTAAGACGGAGGGAGTATTATTTTCCGATGTCGTGCTTCATGTGCGATGGGACTAATTATAAGTGAAGCTAATTGGACAAGCACATGTCATTGTCTGACTTTCAATTTCGTATTGCCGCGTGTATATGTGATAAGAAAAATAGTAATATGTTTTTGTTGTTGACATGATCATGAAATTTAATTTATATATACAAACAATCTAAGTAATTATTACTAGTATTATATTTTCATTTTCACTTAATGTAGTTAATTTTTGTGCTATTTTCAAGATTACACATTCTAAATTATTATTACTCTATGAACGATCTTATTGAGTAATTTTTTCATCTTTAAGTTCCTTTTTGAAGTTTAATCAAGATACTTTTTCTGTCGCTAATTACTTATCTATTTTTTCTTCTTTAGTTATCCTTAAATATTTGTCCATTTTGATAAATAAAAAAAGGACGGACATATACCTTTTTCTTATTTATTTTTAATGTGAAATTTAATATGTAATGTATATCTCTTCTTTAAAGTTTTAACTTACGGTATGGGTGTCATAAATATACCTCTACTCTTTAGTTTCAAAGGCTTCCCCACGGGACTCATCGCCTTTAATTCGTTGAGGTTCTCCCATCACTGTACAAAGTTCTGCTCTAATAATATTTGTAGGTCCTGATTCAACTATTTAGGTACTGTCCACTGTAACGTACACCTATATAAATTTGTTATTTAAGTTTTAATTCAAAATGTATCTCAACATTATTTCGGAGATAATTACAAGAATTTTTGAATTCACACTATAGCTAAATCACTCTTCGTGGGAAGGATCACAACTTTTATAATTGGGTTTATTTTTGCAATCGATCATACTACTTTTAAATCAAGAGTAAGATTGGGTAACCCATAATTAACCAAACATCATTGAATGTGATCAGCAAACCATTAAGCCAAACATCATTTTTTTTTGTAGTGGACCAAAACAAATGTAATTTTTTTTTAGATTGAAAAAAAAAAGATCTTATAATATAAATTAAATAAAAAAAGATCTTATAATATAATCACGGAGACTAATATTGTGGCCATATTCATCCCTAGAAATTAATAATACTTTTTCGTCCCATATTAATAGTCCATTTTCTCATTTACATGCTTTCTCAACAATCATAAACAAAAGAATAGTTTTTATTAATTTATTCCTAAGAAACCTTTTGTTGGAATATAAAAGAACCATGCATGTCACGTGGACTTTTTCTTTTTAAAAATTTGGATAGGCGACCGTAAGAGAAATGAAAAAGGAATTATGGGTTAAAAAATCAAATCTTCATCAATAAATTGAGAGCTCAAATAATCGTCCATCGATCTAACCTACTAAAATTTCTCATGTTACGTGGATTGATTTTACATTTTAAGAGCAATTATATTTCACATCAAGTACAGAAGAATTCAATTTTCTTTTATATTTACTTACATTTTAAATGAAAAAGATTATCACGTGAACTTGGCTGAAACCATATTATATAATAAAACAAGCTCAATAATTGTTATTACGAAATGATAGATGTCTGCTTTTTCATAAGCTTTACAACAACTAAAGCCATATTTATTATCTTTAGTACGATATTTGTCACACCAATTAAACAGCAATTCTACGATCAAAGTTTTTCGTTGACAATTTTGCAATATATATATTATTGTGATTGTGGGACGACATATATGCTGCGAACACAATTTGTTCCGCCCAGCGCGGCATATTTTTCTCATTTTAATATGTCTCGCATAATTCACTCACTTTTTTTAGAGGATTTTTTGTGAATGAGTTTTGACCACTGTATAACGTTTATCCTATATAATTATCACTTATATAAGGTATTATTCATAACATGTGTGACATAATGTAAAACTCTATACCTAACAATTTCAAGATTCTTGAATTCATTTGACAATAATCAATATTTTGAATTCACTAATTTGATAAGCTCGTATTAATCATAAAATTCATTAATTTCCAGACTTTTTACGCATAATTAAGGTTGCATTGATATAGCAAAAGATAAGAAGTATTGATCAATATCACTCTTGTTTGGAAATATCTTTTTGAGAAATTGATTCAACTATAAAAATGACAGTTCGATTTACTAAGTTTACGTTAAATATAATTTTATTCTGCATTTTTGCAAAAATTTCTGTTTTCATGTATACACTAAAATATGTTCACATAGCTCTTAGAAATTAAAGCAAAAACTAATACTAAGTTCTGCATCAAGATAGTTATTAGTATAACATTGTTGAACATATTAGATTCACATTCCTCTCGTTTTTAATGTTTTATTTGTTAGACGGACCATATAACAACAAATATTAAATTAGAGTCTAATATCGTATATCTAAAAGGTAATTTTTAAAAGACTATATTTACACAATTTTTAAACATAGGCGCAAAAACAAATGAATGTCTCAACAGGTATGCTTTATTAGTTTGATTCTCTTTCATGAATCAAACACGTGATATATTTTTTTTTATCTTTTAGTGACAGTCAATTGAAATTTGTAACAATATGAGTTAAATATATATTCTGTCTGAACAATGAACATAGACTATAGCAACGCTAATTTTGAAAAAATTGATCAGGTTCATTTCACCCGTGTTATAAGCATTTAATACTATATTATAAAATAACACAAGAATCTAAATTACTATGCAATTCTTTTACAGAATCGACAAAAGAATCAAAATAAAGAAATCATAAAAAGAATTTTGAGGACAATTATTGAATTAGATGGAAATTATTCAAATAATAGTCCAAAGCAAACTGAAAAAATGTGTAATTGATGATCTTTTGGAATTATTAGGAGAAACTAGAGAATCATCAAATGCCTCCAAAACCAACGCCCTTCTATTACCCAATTTCGAACTACGTACACACCTATACTTAACAAAGAGCTTATTACCCTATGACTTACTTTAAAATAGATAAGTGTATGTCACGCAAATTGTCATAAAACACATGTGTCTACTTATTTAATTTTACATAAATTTAAATGATCATACGTGCATAAACATAAATACCAATTTAGTTGAAGTTAAAATACGTTGATGGATTATACTTTTTACCTTTCGAGTATCTAACATTGATATTTAATATGCATCATTCAACACGCTTTTCCAAAGCCTTTATGAAAGACCGCTCTACATCGAGCTTGTTCTCATGTCTTTTGCGTAAAAAATGATATACTAAAGTATAAAAAATTGAAGTCTATATATATAATAACCAAGCATATTATATATAGAAATATAATAAATTAAAGCACCTAATTAGTTAAACAAAGTTTATAACAAGAACTATATTTAATGTTAGATGATCATAATGAGATCAGTACTTCTTATGAACTCGTTGAGAATCATTGAGAGAGTTTTTGTTCATGGCCTATTAAAAGTAGAATATGCCTTAGTACATAAAAAATAAAACCCTATCCTAATTTGCTTTGGTTTTGTCATTCTCTCTTGACATTTATTCGAGAGACTGAGACGTAGTTATATATTGTTGTTTTTTTCATATTGAAATGAGACAGGGTCAATAAATAGAGGAAGAGAACTATTGGCTGTCCAATATATAAAACATAATAATAATAATCATATATATAAGCAAGAGTAACATATACATAGTGTAGAAATATATTTTATTGCAAATTAAACGATATATATAGTCACACACACACACATAATTAAGCTTAATTAGAGCTTGTAAGACTGAAGTACAGCTTCGAAATCTCCATGGTTTATTGCATAGGTGTGCAAGAACTCTTTGTACTGATAAGGCTTGTATGCTGGAATATTTGTTGTGTTTTTAACCAAATCACTTGCAGGTTCAATGTGACAATCTGAAGAAGGAATCACAAAATTACCAACACAAATTCGAGTTTCTTTTGAATTTGTCACTGCTCGATGAATCACACTTTTTAGCTTATTGTTACTGATAATCTGAAAAATAAGACAAGTTATCTACCGTTACAATTTTTTTTAAAGCTAACGATAATATAATAACATGAACATTTACCTGTAATTGACAACCAATGATGACCACAAATGCATTAGGAATAGGTTCAACAGCAATCCATTTTCCATCCTTGAAGATTTGTAAGCCATGAACATTGTCTTGAAGCAAAATTGTAAACAAATTTGGGTCACAATGGCTATGCATTCCAAGGGCCAAATTTGGGTCAGGACATGGAGGATAATAGTTCACTAATAGCATTTGAACTTTGCTTAATTCACCTCCAAAATACCCCTTTTCAAGTCCTAATCCTTCACTAATCACATCTGAAATCTTTGTGATTAGCTTCCTTGTTTCAATTGAATACGCACTAATCACTTCTCTGAAATTTGTATTTAGGAAACAAATTAAGTATCATGGAAAAAATTACAATATATTAATTGTCACGTAAAATTGGTCAACCAAAAATAAGTAGGTGAAATTTGTCCCTCTATTTGAACTATATATTGCTTTAAAATTACCCTATGTTATGTTCTCTTGTGTCACCAAGGGTTGTGATAGGATAGATAAGATTCAGTAGTTACAAAAGTCTTGGATTCGAGCTCTTATGTGACACGAATCTAGATTAGTTGGAGCCCCAAAATAGGCAACACTAACAAGAAAATATGTAATTTTAAACTGTACGTAATCTAAGGTAGAGAGACGATAAACTTGACCAACAAAAATAAAAGGATAGAAGAAATTACCGATAACGAGTTGGTTTTTCTGGCCAAAAAGGCAAGTAATGTTGGAGAGGATGACAATGATGTGCTAAAGCATCTCTCCAATAGTGTTTATCTTCATAGGAATAATTAGTAGTGCTTGTGTAGAGTTTGCATTTGCTATTTGGGTCAACTGAGTAGTACTTTGCTTTCTCTTTTGCTGGCATGTTAAAAAATTCTTTCAACACATCTACAGTCTCTTCCAATAATGTTTCTGAAATCCCATGGTTGATCACCTGGTTTTCACAAAATCAACAAATATGTTACAAGTAACTTTTACGATATTAGTATAATTTAACCAGTTATAACAGGTAACATGCATGTCTTATTTGTCAGTGTACAAAACTTAAACTCGAGAGAAAAACATGGAGAAGAGAGGAAATTAGAAAACCTGAAAATACCCAAAATCCTGGCTGGCTTTAATTATTTGTTGAGCTTGGTCATGTTCATGAGTAGTCAAGTCTATAATTGGACTACTGCTACCACTTAAAGGAACAATAGGTTCTCCAGGTCTTTGATCTTCTGGGAATATGTAACTTTCAGGCAAAGTTTTAACATTTTTGCACCAGCTTGACACTAAATTATTTTCCATATGATCAATTAGATGTTGTACGTACAGTTTCTAATAGTTCACACAAGTCTATGATCATATTATACAAAATTAATAGGAAAAGTTGTTTGTCTAGATAATAAAATTAACTTATGGCTTTGATGTAAGATTGAAAGAGATCGATGTTGTCATATTTATTCGATTATTAAAGGATTTGATGTTTGCATGTTTGGATTTTTGTTGCCAAATTGCCTTATTTTATTTTAGCCTTTCTCTTTCAATTAATCAAAACATGATTAATGCTGTTGAAACGAATCAGATTCCATTACAAGGAATACACTACAAGTTTGTTTATATTTATTGCCACCCCCATTTTTTTTTTTTGATAAGTGAGACATATAACATATTATTTGTCAAATTCATGACGTTACACCTATCATTTGTTGCGCTCTAGGCCAAAGCCTCCGAAGGTCAATCATTGAAAGGAGAAATATTAAAAGAAGTTTAATACTGGATTCTTTAATTAAGGTCATTTCCAGTATGTTCATGAAAATTTAGTAATTACTGTTTCACAATTATGTGTAAAGCCAAATTGTGTTGTTGGATACTAAAACTACAACAACCACCGATAGAACTCAAACCCCAGAAAACTGGGCTCGACTATGTGAGGACTGTGTTACATTTAAGCTCATCTCGGACCATATGATATATGAGTTACCTATAAAATAACACTATTCTTAGAATTATTTATTAGCTTATTTGATGTTTGAGATCATTTATATTATACAATTATGTGATAAGTGAATCTATCCAAATCAAAATTATTATTTTTCAATTAGAAATTGTGGCAATAAAAATTCTAGACAACGTTGTCACACTTTATAAGTGTGGCAACAGGGAGGCCACGCTAGAAAGTGTAGTTTTATAAAAAAAAAGTGTTGCCAATGAGATGCTACAAAGCGTTGCCTTTGTATCTCATCAGCCACACTTTTTAAGTGTAGCTGCTACGGCAACACTTAAAAAGTGTAGCCTAAGGTTACACTTTTTTAGGCCACCCCGAAAAAGTGTTGCCTAAAGTCAAAAAGTGTTGCCTTTTATCAAAGGCGCCACACTTTTTGCTACTTAAGGCGAAAGCCTAAAATGTTGTAGTGGTTAAGGAGTCCATAAGCTTTACAGAGGTTTCGTGTACAGGGATTTTAATTTGTTAGAAGCTACATGAATGAAGAGATATTCAAACCACGCCTTAGTTTACAACATTGAATATTAATTGTAAGTAAATACAACAAAGTTCCCTCGCACAATAAGAGAGAAGTTCAAGCTAGCTACCATATGTAAAATCAGCAGCTGCGCTATACCATGCATGACAAAATAGTACTCTTATAGTTCTAAAATACTTGCAAATGGAAAGATGTTGCAGAGTACTTGACAGAAAATTACCTCCAATGTTTACTAACTATAGCATCAGGTATAGGAGGCACATCGACCCTATGATATTTTGATAAAGAACTTGGACGCCACCACTAGAATCCTGAACTAACATTGTTAGAAAGGTCGGTCGAATCATATGATTCAGGCCAAGGTAGATACTCCTTTTAAGAGGTATAAAAAGTGCTACAAACTTTGCAGACCACCGTCCATCTGAAAGTAAATCCAGCACGATTATATTTTTCTGACCTTGGTCATATTTTCCATTATCTCCTTTCTGCAAGCAAGTATCAAGACCATATAGCACCGAAAGAAAGAAAGAAAGAGCCTTGAATATTCATAGCTTAGTCTACTAAAAGAGGGGTCTCACTCGCTCACCTCCAACGGATACATATCATTCACTTGTAGTTATATGATATATCAATGAGATGACTTATAGAGCAAAGAAAATTCAGCTGTGTATGACAGTATCATTTGGTCATTCTGGTGTCAATAGACCAAAGGACCGTTCAATCGCAAACCGGTCCCAATTAAGTTTGTGTCTGCTATAAAAATCCTCACTACTCATATTGCTCTAAATAAACTCATCTCAAATTAATATTACACAACAACAACATACCCAGTGTTATCGCACAAGTGAGGCAAATCACACAATAACAATAAAAAGTACCACTCCTAAAAACATAGGAACTACTAGCTAGGGCATGCTATATAAAATATCTATATCTATTCAATTCTGCTCGGGTCAAATTCATTCTAATGCTAAAACAAAGGGCAGCCCGGTACACTAAAGCTTCCGCTATATGAAATCAATGCTGAAGGGTAAATGAAGAATCTTGGTATCTTTGTGATACCAGAATCTACAAGCCCTTTTACACCTGCTTTTGTGGATTCAAATTCCCTCTACTTCTTTAGCCCAATCATGAAAATAAATTTAGGATGCAAGACTGGGTTTACTACTTTTTTTTGTTCTCCCTTCAAACTGGTAGCTCATCAGTTGTAATTTATGAACAAACACATGCCCCCATGTGGAGGTTGACTTGCCATTTGTAAAAAATGCTAAAGAAAGCATGCGAAAGTAATTTACCCAGGTAGTAAAACTGGTAGCATTTCTAATCGGATTTTTTTTTTTTTCATATTCAAAACTCGATTAATGAAGGTTGGAGCACTCCACTATACCACATAGGCCATAGCTATAAGAAAAACCTATTTCATTTTAAACTTGAAAATTGAAATTTCTTATAAGATTCTCGTTTACTATTAATAACATATTTAACTATGTTTTAGAGAAATTTTCAAATATATAGTGACATGTTTAGAATTAAAGTTTCTCAATATATTTTGGTGTAGATAAAGAATTTAGTTCTGTTACTAGATTCATGGTAAGTTAAATTTTTATTAAATGAAAATAGTAGTAGTAATATATTACATTTAGGGGGCATTTGGTTTGGAGTAGTGAAATAGGTTTTTCTTATAGCTATGTGGTATAGTGGAGTGCTCCAACCTTCATTAATCGAGTTTTCTAGTTTTGAATATGAAAAAAATTTCGGGTATCAATTTTTGACCATCCGCCCCAATTTGCCGCACCCAAGTGCAGCGTCGAAACTCCACCGCCTATGATCCCAATTTTATATAAAATTACTCCCTCATAATCTTATATTGCCCTTCAATTTTATTCCATTTGGAGCAAAGTTCCATTCTTGAGTACAAAGATATCTTCTTTTTCTTCATTCTCGCACTTTTGGATGAGGCTGTTATTGTGGGTGCATTGAAATTGATGGCTAATCGATCTCTGAAGCGTTTTCTCAACAACATAGGTCAGTTTAACTACCCCTTATGTTTCCAATTTTTGGTTTTCTTTGAGTTTCTGAAGTTCAACTCTCTGCATTTCCTCCTCTCCTAAACCTAACATCTAATGGCAGCTGCGTCAATTTATGGGATTGAGCATGACAAGAAAAATAATAATATTTTTTTGTTCATTTTCTGAATTCTATGATCTTCGATGGCTGAAATAGAGCTGAATGGATATATAGGGTTCACATATCTGACACTAGCTACAGGTAGTGGTGTAGTTATTGATTGATTGCTTGTTTGGTTGATAAATCAGCTGATAAAAGAATTGGGGAAGAAAGACAGTAGGGGGTTGGCCTTTGGCTTGAGCTCATCCCCACACACTTTGCCTAGTGCGATTTACCTCTTCTGTGTGGTTTGCTACCAGATAACAACAATATACCCACTGTAATTCCACAAGTGGGGTCTAGGGAGGGTTGTGTGTATGCAAACCTTACTTCTACAAGGTAGAGAGGCTGTTTCGGTACCCCTGTTAACCAAAACAAAATGAATTAGGGAAGAAAGATTGACATTTCTACTGTTATGCATAAGAATAAAATCCATGGTCCGAAGCAAAATTTTGATTAGATACTTATCTACTCTTTTTTTTTCCATCTTTAGAAACAGAAAATGACACTTATATAGTACGTACACAGTTGAATCGGGAGGCTTGTGGGTAAGTGAAAAGGTTACAGAAGCGAAAACTAGTTATATGTGCTGGATAAATGATCTGTTGGTATTTTATTGTTTGTTCTTTTAATTTAGAATATCTAATCTTTCAAATCATTATTAAGATAATTGTAATTGTATCTGGCAGAATTCAGTATTGGTATCTCAAGGAAACATGTTTCCAACCAGAGATATGTCTACAACATTCTTAACCGGTGTCAATCAAATTATTCAAACACAGATGGTCATAAGCCTGAAGAGAAGAGCATAAGCCATGGTCCGGGGCGCAGTAAATATGATATTGACAATGGCGATTTTCATGATAATAAGTGGAAACTAGAGCTTGCTTGGCTCTCTAAAGCTGTTGAACCTGCGGTCCAACTCTGCAGATGGGCTTTGTCAACAGGTTCGTTTAACCTCCACTATTACAACTTTACAAGGCATTGATGTTTCTCTGTGATGCTCCATTCCTATAGTAGCTTCAAGAGTTTGGACCTACAGAACAATGTCATGTTGCAAAGGGCGAACCGCCAATGTCATACTTGTGACATTTAGAATGAACTAGGACATTCCTCAACTAGTTTGTTGCTGTGAATATTTAATATAAATCAATTTTTGCTGTGGTTTCTACTTGTTGTTTGACCTCCTACGTATAGGATGTTTAGAATTCATCTGTCGCTTTTAACACTGTGGTTGCAATTGTATTTATCGATCTAAAACAAATGGATTCAATCAACTTGGCATGGATACTAAATTAAAATGAATTCACATCTTGCTTTAAGTTCTGGAAACCAGTCGGCTGACATACAGACCCTTCGATCTGTACTCTAGTTCAAATTCGATCTCAAGTTTAGGAGGAATGCTTTTGCGTCTTACCAAAACTAGCTCCAGTTGTGAAGGCTGATTTAAAGAAAAGTAATTCCAGGTCCTTAGGATCATATTGATAATTTGAAAAATGATTTAAAAGTTCACGATAGATTTCAAGTAATTGGTTTAATCTGTACTCTAGTTCAAATTTGATCTCAAGTTTAGGAGGAATGCTTTTGCGTCTTACCAAAACTAGCTCCAGTTGTGAAGGCTGATTTAATTCTATGCAGGAAATGGAAATGGAGACAAACTTCCACCGACCAATAAATCTCTTGCAGAGATATTTGCCAGCATTCAACGTAGTAAATTGGGACTTCAGGATTGGAGTCTCACTGATCTTACCATAGGCCTATATCTAATATATCTTCAGCAAGCATCCACCAGTCCTATTGAGGATGTTACGGGTGAACAGATATACTCTGATTTGATAGTAAATACTAGAACCTTATTAAGTGTTTGAATTCTGACTAAGCCTGCCTTCTCAAAATTTAACTTTTTTGTATTGCTATTCGTGACTCTAACAAGATATGCCTTTCTGATTAGGTTCAAGATCTCATCTACCACACTGAACTGGCTAAGGGTTCTTATAAAGATTGCACTGCAGCACTTGCAAGGAATTGTATGCTCCGGGAAAGTAATGTTGTCAAATTCATAAAAAATTCCAGTGTGTTGAGGCCTGGATATTATATAGGAATTGACAAGCGGAAAAAACTTGTAATTCTTGGAATACGTGGAACTCATACAGTGTATGATCTTATAACTGACATTGTTTCTTCAAGTCATGAAGAAATCACGCTCGAGGGTTACTCCACTCACTTCGGAACTTCTGAGGCTGCCCGTTGGTTCCTTATTCATGAGATGGGCACCATAAGGAACTGTCTTGAGAAACACAAGGTGGACATCTTTTCATTTGCAATTTGTTTTCTTTATATTGACCCACCAAGGAGGAAAGAAAAACAAAAAAGAAAAAACTTGGACTAGTTTTCATGTGTATGTAAACCTCTTTTATATCCCCATTTAGCATGACTAATTCATCCACAGGGATTTAGGTTAAGGCTTGTTGGTCATTCCCTTGGGGGTGCAACAGCTTCATTGCTGGCTATCATGCTTCGAAATATGTCGGCCCGAGAACTTGGTTTCAGTCCTGATATTGTGTCAGCAGTTGGATATGCTACGCCGCCATGTGTTTCTAGAAAACTTGCCGAAAGTTGCTCTGAATATGTCACAACAGTGGTAATGCAGGTCAGTAACCGATCCATACAGTCTATTTTGTTGTTGTTTTTTTTTTCCTTCTTAAGATATTTTAATAATGAATCAATAGCAGAATACTTTTCTCAGATTTTTGTTTTTATCAACTTTTTCTATGTTTCCCTACTAGGTTCTTATTGAATCACATATTGAATTGACTGCTGGAATTTCACTATGTTTTGTGATGCAGGATGATATTATTCCAAGGTTAAGTATTGCCTCCCTCACGAGGCTTAGGAATGAAATTCTTCAAACTAACTGGTAAGCAAATGTAATGTTAAGGATGGTCCTTGGTTCATCTCAATTATTCTGCTGGTGATGCATTAAAGCTGATATCTGTGGCAGTGTGGCCCTAGATTGCATATAAATGTACTTGCATATCATGCAATTAATAGGTTATATTTCAGTATCTCAATCCTGCTGCTATTTCTTCTCTCTTTCCTTTCAGCATTTGTAATTCTAAAATTCTAGAACCAACTGTTTCTTACTAGTTGCTACAATATATGAAAGTCAGAATGACTTTTACATTAAGGACAAAATACGAGTAACAATTGATAGGGTCTTCAAAATGGTGTTTTTCCTTTTTCCCACCCCTTACAACTCCTTTCTTGCTTACATCTCCTTACACATGGAATATACAAATCTTACAAGTTGAAAAGAGTCATCAATCTTGATGCTTGTCAGTTGACGGGGTAAGCTACATGAAGCACTCTAATGAAAGATGAAAGATCTTTGTTTCCTGATAACCTCGGTCTCTTCGCAACTCCAGAATTTTACTCTCCTTTAACCTTGTCCAGAATTTTACATGAAGCACTCTCATGCAGTAGCTTTTCTTCTTTTTCCTTTTAGTGATTTGTGGTAGTCAAGTAGTTCTGTATGTTATGTTAATTGTGAATTATTATTAACCTTAGCTTGTAGAAGTTCAAATTAGCATACAATTGTCCCATTGTCCATTGATTATGATATTGCTTCTGCCGTGAATTCTAGCTGCCTAAGTCAGTAGGACATGAGTTAGCAGACCTTGGTTGGGGAAGGAATTGAAGGAGGCTAGGGAACGGAATGAAGGAGCAATAGTGATCTGGTCATTTGAAATTATAGTTAATGATGTAAGTTTGTAAGATGTAGCTTGCATGGTTTCGAAAGCAACATGTGATGTTACCAGCCAATACCGGAAGTGCTTAAAACCATAGGGAGGTAATCTGAATCTTATATGTTATTATAAGCTAGAGAGATAATGAGAATGCTTTGCTACAAAGAGTTAAAAGGGGAAAAAGGCACTAGGAAGAGCATGGTAATTGATGAAATGCTCTGGGGTAAGTGCAGAGAGACTTTGAGACCTAGCTTTGCTGTATGCTGAAATCACAAGTTCTGTTTCTTCTTTCTCTTTTCCTCTTTGTTGGGTTTCATCTTGTACCACCTGTAGGATTTTTGGGGTCAGAAGTTTACATAGATTAAAAATAAGCATTTTAATGTATGCAACTGAAGAGATGTGGAAGGAACAAGTATAAAATTGAATGGATGATTCCAGGGAGATCACATTCGCTAACCTTTTGTTTTCTTCTTTATCTTGTCTAGGGTGAGTGTTCTTCAGAAGGAAGACTGGAGAGGTGTCGTAGACTTATTTACCAATGCAAAGCAGGTTGTATCTTCTGTGCAAGATGTAGCTCGGAGACTTGCTGATTATGCTAAATTACGAGGCCAAACTAAGCTCTCTGGTACGTTCATGAGCATTGGAATGGCTTGTACTAATTCTATGTTCCAATTACACTCACAAATGTTTCCTATTTGTCAATTGTCGGGGGACTTTGGGGTATGTGATTCTAGACATCCTTCAATATTTTCAACATACTCAGATGTTAATATTACCTGTACAGAGTCTACGGTTCCACGTGTTCCTAATACCTCCAACTCCAAAGTCAATACATCATCTCTTGCGAGACAGGAAGGCGATGCTGAGTTGTTTGTCCCCGGAACTCTTTATATTTTGAAGAGGAATGCAAATGCAAGAAACGAAGGTAACAGTGTGGAATGTTTCACACTTTGGAAGAGACACTCAGGGGAGCATTTTCAGAGGATACTTCTCTCAAATAACATTATTTCTGCCCACAAGTGTGATAGCCATTATTATGCATTGAGGGATGTTCTTAAAGGTTTGCCTGGTTCTACCGATGAAACTGTTTTCCGATGAATAAATTTCACATATTTGCTCTTTTCGTGTAAAACAATGATCTCATCATCCCACGGCTTGTGGGAGGTAGCTAGCTGGTCCCCTTGAGAGTAGTTGAGGTACGTGCAAGCTGACCCTTATCAATACGAAGAAACAAATAATGGCCTTGTTAGTTGCTTTACAGGTAAAACATTTACATTGTCCTCAAAGATAAGAATTGTTGTAATTTTCAGCTTACAGTTTTATTTTTTCCTGTAGTACCAGGAAATCTTCCTGTATTTTTTATTTTTCAACTATATCTTTTTGATTTTCATTAGTATTTTTTTTTAAAAAAAACATGTACTGCTATTACAAGCATAGCCAAAAGGCAATCAAGCTATATGTATCTTGAAAATAATAAAGTTACAAATGACCAATAGCTACAATTTGTCAAGCTAATTGGATTTTTTTGATATTTTTTTTCTTATACCATTTTTGAAACTGATTGTATTTCTTATACTGTTGCGTGGATAATGTTAAGACTCAAGTTTAATATTCCTGTCATATATGTTTCAATTTTAATTTATTGTCTAGTGTTTGCAATAGCTACGAAATTTTTACTGGTTTGACATTTGTTCATAATCTTTAGATTCATAATTTGATAGGATATTTCAAAATTATTATCTTTATTCCACCAACCAAAACGACGCAATGATACCATGATTTCTTGAACATTGAATAGTAACATGCTAATGTATGTTGCATTTTTGTCTTGGACTGCAAGAGTGGAAGACCAACTAGATGATAAAGTGATGGGTTTTTTTTTCTCTTCTAAACTAGTCTGCTAATAGACAAATTTGTCTGCCTGTTTTAATTCACTTTCATGAAAGTGCACTTTTGTATATTCTTTTCTGTTCCTTCTTTATTCTTGGTCATTATTGCAACTTTTGGTAAGACCTTGCCTTCTTAAACTTGAAATTTAATCAACAAAAGCCCCCACCCATCTTGTACTTACATATAACCAAACTAATGGCTTCAAGCAATAATTGTTTTTTTTCTCTTCATCCTAATTTAAATGTCGTTTTAGTATAAGAAATTGTTTTAAAATAATTTTCATTTTAGAAATTTAAGATTAAAGTTGACAATTGTTTTCAATTATACGTTTAAGATTAAAGAAATATGAACAATATATAAGAGGAAAAATTGAGAGTGAAAAAAGCTAAAACGACAATTTAGATGCGACGAACGTGATGTTTTTATTTGATGGAGTGTATAGTACTCATACTTTTAGAAATCCGTCTTTATCATCTCTAAACTTGTTTAAGAAACTTAATTTGTTTGGTAGGAAAAGCAAAAACTTAATCATGTTCCACAGGAGATTGGTTTGACCTAAGCTAGAGCTACTTAAATTTGTTGATCATTTTACAAAAGTTGCAGGCGATCAAGGGGACATTTTGTCTGAGAATTCGAGTACATGGGCTTATCATGATTACGAGATATTAAAGTTGTAAATACTACTTAATGTTGTACTTAATTAATCACAACTTTCACCCTAGGTAATTAGTGGAAAAATTGATTTAGTACACACTTCTCACCTCCAACGTGTGCTTGCCTTCAAAATCATAATCATGAAGTGTTCCTAAATCATATTATTGTGAGCGTGTTTTTGAGTGTCCATTATATATTAAGTTAATTGTTTAAAATATGTCATCTATGTTTATTTTACGCATTAGCTTTAATAAGACGTAAAGTTAATCTAGGCCTATTTCAATTAAGGCTAACACGTATAATTAAAGAAGATAACATATACTAAGTGATTAGCTGATCTACGCAATGGACATTTAAAAATATGCATAAAAGATTTTTCAAAATTTGATTTGAGAGTATTTAATAAAAACTTTATTATGTGTTTAAATACTCAATTGAAATATATCGTAATTCAAAAACTAACGATATTCAGCTTGTGTTCGACATTATCTAAGCAAAATCCAGATCATTACTTATTAGGCCATGCTTTCACATTTTATATTTAATTTTGAGTCAAATCTTTCAAAGTGGAAAAATGCCTATTTTAGGCTTTGGTAACATCAAACGTGAGATAGAACAAATGTCTTTTTCTCTTTGTTTTGCCTTACATCCCACCCACCCCTAAATGTCTATATACAAATGACTAAGAGAGAAATCACCCTAATTAACTTTCATACACCGACTCCATTAAACATCTACTATTTAATTTGTTATGAGTACAATACTGTTATCGAGTAATTTTATCCATTAAACAAAAGAAAGGTTCAATTTTTCCATATCCTAAAAAGCCAATGCTTGAAGTTTACCCAAGCTTGTTTATAAAAGTGTAAAATACCTAGCTACTAGTATTATAAGGTTGATACACAAATTGATCTAGGCTTTGTATATCTTGCATATTCATTATCCCATGGCCATCACTATAATGATCAACAGATTCCATTGAGCTACTTTGTGGTGATGAGTTGGACTTGAGATTAATATAATTTGGATAATTAGCTGGAAAGGATGAACTTGTCATTTGTCCACTTGATGATGCCATATTATTGTTGTTAATCCATTGAGGATTATAACAATTGTTTGAATTCATTAAGCTTTGAGCTAGCTGCCCTTTCACTTGCATCAATTGAGATTGTAAATAAGCTACCTGACAAATATATCCAAAACAATAAAATCAATTTCACAACTTAAAAAAAGAAGAAGAAAATAATGACTCATTGGAGTTTATCCATGCAGGCATTTTTGTTTATATAAATGATGGTAAAAAGTTAAAAATAAAAACAAACTACATGAACTAGTTGTCATATATATACTTTTACACTATGATCAATGTATTATTTTAGCTGGTAATTTATATTTTTACAAAGTTATTCTAAACTTAATTATAGTATATATTAGAGTGTTTTAACTTATTATAGCATGTAATAAATTAACCTGACTCATTTTCTAGATTACTAATTCCAACTTTTTGTAAATACACTATTAAACATTAGTTGAAGTTTATTAAGCTACTTCCTAATTAGTTACTCATTCCATTTTTTTTAGGTTGTTAATGTTACATCTTTTAGGTGGCATAATAATGTCGAACTATTATACCTTTTGCAAATTTTATTATCCAACTATGATTCGATCATAAGTTGTTCTCTTTTCCTACCCAAATTACCACCATTTATGTATTAAAATATATCCCATTTTTTTTTATCATTTGTTCCCTTTCCCTTCATGAACAATGTTGATAGTTCAAGTAGGAAAATGAAATAACCGACATAGTCGAATTGTGTTTTAATACATCGATGGTCCATCGTTCAGGTTAAAAAAGGGAACAACTGATAATTGAATCATCTTTTAATACATACATGAGATAATTCAGGTAAAAAAGATGAAATTAAACACCTGATAGTTGAGATGTGAAAAAAAGCATGACAATATTGACTTAGGGTTTCAGAGAAGTAATTAATTAAAGTACCTGTTGTTGTAAAGCAAAGATGTTGGCAACACAACCAAAGACAGGATCTTTAATCCTAGCTTGAGCTTCATAAGAAATAGTAACAACAGCATCACAACGATCATCTATAGGTACATTATGCAACAATTTAGACACATTACTTGCTCCAAACACTTTATGAATTGCAGCAAATTTAGAAGGTCCTTCTTCTGAGTTAAAATAAGGTGCAAATATACAATCCACAGCACATTTTCTCCTTAGAAATTTACATGCACCACATGGTGATCCTGTACTTGCCATAGCCAAATAAAATGTGAAAATTAGATAATAATAATAGAACCTTATTATTATAAGGTTGAAAATTAATGGGGTGCACGAATACACTAGGAAATGATGGAAAAATGAAATGTAAAGTGGAGAAAGCTTTGATTTATATAAGTGTGAAAGAGGGGACATGGAAGGTCTATGTGTAGGGATTTAAGGGGACAATTATTAATGGCTTATTCCATAGTCAACAATGTCTATTTTTATATTGTTCTATTTTTGTACTTACTATATACATGTATGATTGCTTTTTTAACTTCTTACTATATTAGTTCCAACTAGTGAAGAAGATAAGCCTTTTTAAAATGTTTACTATCAAGAAATTATTTATTTTTCAATCTCGAAAATTCTGATTAAATATTACCCTCTTTAATTTTGAAGGGAAATAATTATACCTCATCTGTTGTTTGTTTACCAACTTCGCTTATAGTATACAATAAGACTTCATAATAATCATCCTCCATCTATACCAATATTTTATTATAATAAAAAATTATTTATATCTAGTTTTGCTTCATTTAAAAAATCTATGTTTCATTTATATCTAAGTTTTGCTTTTTTATTAAAAAAAATCTATTTTGAAAAATATGACATTTTAATGTTTAGTAGAGGGGTGGCGGGGCCTAAGTAATTTGTCATGTTGTATAATTGAACGGTTACGTTTTATTTTAAAAAGGAAGATAAATAATTTGTCCATCTCTATTTCTTAAATATTTTCCACGCCGATCGCCGCACCTGGGAACTGCTGCTTCTTTTTTTCTTTCTTATATTATATACTTTCTCCAATTTTATTATTACTACTTTCATATTATTTAATTCATGATATTTTAAAATTATAAATTTGACTATAATTTTCGTACGTAGTTATTCCATTAGAAGTAGAAAAATCTTCTTAATTTATTAAAATAAAATAAAATATTTATTTTTAATATAAGAATTGATTATAATGATATTGAGGGAGTACTACTACTCTTTTTGTAGCTAATGACACGTGGAGATAAACTTACCGACAGCTTTATTTGACTTTTAATACTTCCATTTTGTTCATATGTATATGATATATATATAAGTAGTAGTCTTAATTAATTATTTTGAATATATAAGTAGTTTAGAGGGTCAATATGGAGTAACGTACTTTTTAATCTCTTCATAGTTCATTCCTTCGAGAAGAATAGAAACAATATTATATATAGTCTCCTCATTAAATTAAAGTTTGATATAAAAAGAGGACACATGGTTCTTTTTGGCGATACGTTTATTTATTACTACTCCATCAACTATTACTACTACTATAAATTGTATGTTTGTTTATTAATACTAGCAGCTCAATAAATCAGTATGTAATATATAAATTGTGTATAATCATATTTGTATCATACGTATATTGAGTATATACGCGCAACAATTACAACTTGACGGGTTAATTTAGATGGGCCTATTGTTGGACAGATTCAGGACTGGCCCATTAATCTATGGGCATATTGTTGGACAGATCCAGGTTCGGCCCATTAACGTATGGGACTATGGGCTTGGTTATAAAAAAAATTAAAAAAATATGCACCAGCCGGGAATCGAACCCGGGTCTGTACCGTGGCAGGGTACTATTCTACCACTAGACCACTGGTGCTAGCTGTTGATATATTTCAGTTAATTAAAATATGACCTACAAATCATTAACTTAATTAACAATTTTAGGGAAAATTGTATAAAAAAGCAAACTATTAATTCAAATTAAATGTTATAACCACAATTTGATTTAATTGTAACCTGTAGCAAACTGTTGCCATTCGCCTCTCTCCCCAGCTTTCTCGCTCGCTACTCTCCCTCGCCTCTCTCACTTTATACAAACACAAATGTATAAATTGTGTTTGTGTTTGTATAAAGCGAGATAAAACTGTATATATACATATCTTTTCGTTCTCCTCTCTCCCCAGAGAATCTCGCTTGCCACTCTAACTTTATACAAACACAAATGTATAAATTGCGTTTGTGTTTGTATAAAGTGAGAGAAAATTGTATATACAAATACAAATACACATATTTTCATCCTATACACTTATAATTATACAAATACAGATCTCCCCTGCCGAGTTTTCTTTTCTCTTTCTCGCTTTATACAAACACAGATTATACAATTGCTCGCTTTATACAAACACATATTATACAATTGATTCTTTTGTATATGTATACCAAAATATAAGTTTGCTATGAAGCACAATTATACAAACTATAGCTATAACATACAAGTTAAATATGATTTTTATGTTTGCTAAACCTAAAATTTGTGTGTATCCTTTCATGTTTTGTAGTATGATATAAGCTTTTCTAACTAATTATGGAAATTTTCTTCTTTAAGTGATTGTAAATCAAAAGAAGTTAGTTCATCGATCATGATTCCAATATAGAAAACTCACTTCCAATAAGAAAGTTCAACAATTAATGTGCATGTGTTTATATAAAAATGTAGATCAACAAACGTTATCTAATCTAATCTAATTAATTAGTTTGCAAGCGTGCAGCCTCAACAATATACTCACTCAGTAATTATATATATAAAACACATATAGTTTAATAGTGTACTGAGGTCGGAAGAATATATGAAATGATTTAAGTTTAATGGTTAAGATATTGTTCGCATTTCAAGGTTTTAAGGGTTTCAACTCTCACAGTTCATTCCCTCAAATTTTAAACAACAATTAATTAATCTTGAAATTATATGACCTTTAACTTTTCCTTTCATTTTATATATGCAACAAAAGAAAGCACCATAAAAATATGAAAATGATGCTTTTGCTCAAGATCAGACCATATATAAAAGTACGTAGTTGTACAAACAACAATAACTAAACCTCAAAATCATCGATTATATGAATCCTCATTATTCACGTGGTTCCAGAATATTATTGAGAAATAATAATAACAATTATCCCCTTTTGAATCTATAAACATATATACTATTGTTTCAAAGGATCATGACCAAGTCGAAGTTCCAAATCCAAATCATTTTCTTGACTCTTCTTTTGATCCATAGTTTCTATCACATGATCGTCATGTGTAGCTGCAGTACCAAAATATTGAAATCCCCAATCATCTCCAAATAAATTAAGGCATTGAATATTGTGATGATCATCATGAGAACTATTAATACTTCTATTTTGATTCAAAAAAATCTCATGTCCATTTGTGGAGGTAGATGTAGATGCTGCAGAATATGTTACATAATTTGATTGTAACTCTGCCACATTGTAACATCTAAGATTAGCACCTGCAGAGGCGGATCTATAGTGTTAGAAGGTACGCAGATTCAATTAAACTCATCAAGTTTAACTTAATTAGACGACCACATTATAATACAAGGGCTAATGTAATTTATAGACAACAGGTTCAACTGAATCAGTATTTTGAAAAACATATATATATATATATATATATATATATATATATATATATATATATAAGCAAAAATGAATGAAATTCCAACAAATATATATATATACTTGATGTTTTGTTGCAAAGATGAACCTATATAGTGTTAGAAGGTAGATTCAATTGAACTCATCATTTGTTCAACTGAACCAATATTTTCAAAAACATAAATATATACAAGTTAAATAATTATGGAAATTTCAACAAATATATACTTGATTTTTGAATCATGACTTGAAAAGTATAGTATGTTCGGTACTAAGAACTTCTAAGGTTGAATCTCAATAATCTGCCTATAATATATATAAATATACATACACATATAAAATTGTATCAATTGAACACTCTTCATAAGAAAATTATAAATATGTAATATGTCAATAATTACTTTATATATACATTTCTAGTTTTGGTACTAATTGTATGTTTGTGTGTGAGAGAGAGAGGGGAGGAAAACCCTAATACTATATATAAATTGAATAATACTTCCTTGAATCCATATATTTCAAGGAAAATTATAATTCAGAATTGTTTAAATTTTGGATCCAACTCTGAGTACATACCTGATGATAAGTTATTGTGGATTTCATGCTTTTTAGTAGTAGTGGAGGTGAGCAAATTGTGAGTAGTAGTATTAGGTTTGTTCCTACTACTGGATAATTTGTCTTTCCTATGAATATTCATATGACCACCTAAAGCTTGAGCTGTGTTGAATCCTCCTTTGCAATAAACACACTCATAAGATTTGCCAACACCTCCCATGTAGTACTCTTGTTCTTGTTCTTGTTCTTGTTCTAGCTCTTGCTGGTCAACTTCTTGATCGATCGATGAGTTTAACAAGTAATCATGTTGATTAGATGACTCCATTAGTTAAATCAATCTTAATTATATATATATAGATCATCAATATTGTTTGATCTCATATATATTGACTTTGGAATATTGAGTGTAAAGAAATTATATGGAAGATGGGGAGGTTTATGAGTCGGAAACAACAACCTCTCTACCTCGCAAAAATAAGATAAGGTCTATATATGTTTATTTTATCAACTTCAAACTTCACTTGTGAAATTACACTCGTTTATTGTTATGGGGAATTATATGAGACAAAATATTTAAGGGCTTAAAATCATTTAGACGAGAGAAGTCATACTATAGCTAATTTGTAATTCCACGCCGGCCGTTTAGTAAAGACTAATATATATATAAAATAAATAAATTTAAGGGGTTTAACTTGTGCAGACTAATATCATTACAAAAACATATAAATTTAATTTATATACATTGATGATGCGAATTTTCTAAATTATTTTACCTATCGATGCATTTTAACTTGTTACAACTAGTAACCTACTTATTTTCGGTTAATAATTATTTGTACGATATAGTTATTATATTGAGTCTTGACTTGATAGTGTGTTAGTATCAAAAGTAATAACTTGAAAGTAAGATGTTATATATATAATTACAAATTAAACTATACATAATTATATGGTCTGGTAAACACTAATTTAAGTTATAGTAAGAGACAGGAAGCTTCCTCCATGACCTAGAGGAGGCTGTAAAACGACTCGATCAAATGTTACAGTTTTTTTTTTGTAGTTTTCTTTTTGTCTTTTCATAAGCGTTTCTTTTTCTTATTAACAATAATATATATAGGTTAAAGATAAACAAATACAGACACCCTTTAATTTATTCAAATAATTTTCCCCAGAGTACTTGTTGTTTAACTTGGTACTGGCTGCTTTCTGAAAAATAATAACAATATACTCAAGTATAATCTCAAATATGATGGGATAAAATGGCATGATCTTAGACCCTCCAAACACAAATCTCTTGCAGGCCAGGATTGTTTATGAACATTAATATATTATTCATAATTAGCAAGTGTCTAAACAAATATGATACTGTATCTATTCTTAGCCAATGATTATGACTTTAATTATAATCATATATTATTTCAAATCAAGGATGTGTATTGCATAGTTAATTTGTTATAAAACCTTTTAGTTGATGATTTGAAAGAATTATCGTATAAACGACACTTAAATACGTAAGAATATGTTACTCTATCGATTGAATTATGTCGAAGCTTCTTTGTTCTTATTCATCTGAATTTAAACGCTTTGTCTTGGTCCTATATATATTTGTGTATGATGTATTTTCTCTTGACAAAAAGAATTGAAGTAGTTGAAAAGAAGAGTGGAAAAGACAAGACCACCAAACCAAATGAATAAAGCTGTTGTTCTTTGGTTTTCGAATGGCATTTTCTCTAAGAGATTTTGATCCAAAGATCTATCAGAAACAACCTCTCGAGTCTCAACCCCATTAAAGTAGGGGTATGGTTTACATCCTATCCTATCCTCCTCAAATCCCACTTATATGATAAGGTTATTTAAAATGTAATTGTTGTATAATTGATGAATAACATATTAATTTAACATGATGTTTGTAACATTTTTTTTTACTGACAGTACTATAATAACTAATATATCCTTTTAAGGTATTGTTCAAGGTTGATTTTTTGACCAAGTCTTACCATATACAGAGGTTATTGTCAGTGTGACAGATCTTAACTGCTGCACTCTACCAAACTGTCATTTGGTACAAACAACGTCATGTTTTTTCATAAGCTAGAGATAAAGGTGATGAATGTTGTAGGTTGAATTCGGGGTGAGTTTTTTTTGTGTACAATGGGGTTTACGGGTATCCAATAACTTTTGCATGAATAATGTTTTTGTATATGTATTGAAAAATCCAATAAATGTATAAGAAATACGATTTGGTCCAATGGCAGAAAAGGAACCTTTTAACCTTTGTTTCCCTCTTGGTCATAGGTGGGAAACCACAAACTTCAAATCATGGATCTGCCTAGGGGTTGACAGCCTGTGCAAAAATAATTAAAATGTGACAAATCCTCTAAACATACGCAGAGGATTTTTATATAATTTACTTCAACGAGTTTTGTATACAGATTGATTGTTTATTGAATTTTTTATTTGATTATGCTACAAAAGTGTGCTCAAAACCATTGTAAAAAATTACTGTAGCAAAATTGTGCTTAGAGTATTCTCTCTCAAGTCTACAAGCATTCCAAGGTTGGCATATGTTTATTGGCACATCTGGACTCTGGTCTCTCCCCAGTTTGCAATTTATCAGCAACAATCCTGAAAAAGAATTTGATGCGTAAACAAGGATTTCTTTTGAATCAAATAAAAAACTTTCAATCACAGTGATGGACAGTCAAACAACACCGTATCTACATAACCAACATAGATTACTGAAACAGAAGGGCCACGAGATTATGCTGTTTTGAAGTGTGCACTCATATGAATTAAGATCAAGGTGAAGAGAGATATTTCAGGATGTATACTATTTCCTAGAAGAAGATTGTCGTTATATTGATGCAAATTGGGCAAAGATTGCCTTCAGGATGTTAATCTGTCACTAGCATGTTGCTTACCGCCCACCTGCGTGAAAGATACTCTTCTAGTAGGGAAAGGGAGGAAAAAAATGCAACATAAAGGAGCTGAATATGCAAGTTTATGTATGAAGATAAAAAGAGTTTATCAGAGAAGATAATGCTATTGTAGTAAATGATTGCAGGGAACGATGTATTAGTTAGTTCATAATGTAGTTAAAGAACAAATAATCTACAAGTGCAAGAGACAATTTCAAATCAGCATGCAATTATGAAGCAAGAAACAAGAAAAGGAAAGAAAATAAATAAGTGAAGCTCTTACATGGTCGGATTTCAGCATGTTCAGATAGATAGAAAGTCTCTTGACATGTTGCCAGTGAGCACTGAGTAGCAGCATTGGTGAGTGTGTTTGCAGTCTCGTTTAGTATGCCTGGTCTGGATAATCTCGAAGCCTAAATCAGTCATTGAAATACATCAAAATGCATCAGGTAATTTCACATCTTATGTCCTCTTTTACATTTGTATAATTGTATTGAACAATGTTAATATGCTGCACCTAGATGCAGAATCATCACAGATTAGTCCCATAAATCATTTCTACAGATGATGTTAGCTGCTAATCGAACAGAGAATCTGGATCTTTGCCTTCAGCACGCCAGCTGAATCACCAATGATGGGAGAAAGATTAACTCCTTGAGGGGTTCCCTGATAGCTGCAGAAATTTTTTTGTTATCAAAGGGAGTTATATGCTAAATGATATAACAACCAATGTTCAAACTTAAGCAAATTTTACCTGTGTCATTCTATGGAATAGAGTAGCCAATGTGACTGCCGGTACGTTATTATTCAAAAGTACACCAGCTTCCAATGTATGTTTGAGCAGCACCAACAGAGTGGATGTATCAGCTAGCCAATAGGATATTATCATCATTTTCTAGGGGCTTTAATAACACTACATTTTACAACGGAAAGCTACCAGCTTTTATTAAATCTGATCAATTCTTCGACATACAAAATTCTAACAACTTTAATTCCTACCTCAATAGCTTGAGTCCTCTCAACTTCAAATGACCGCCACTGCATAAGGCACTTGTAGATAGTGCAAGCATGACCAGATCTGTCCTCAAAGAAGTCAAGAGCACAGTGTAATACAGTGTATGAACAAGTTCTGGTACCCCTTTTTCTCATCAAGTGATTTTTGCGGTCTTCCCTCGACCTCTTAATTAACACTTGAATTCAGTGATGTGCTATGTTGATCCTATTATAAATCCCAGTTCTTAGTTAACTGATAGAACAAGTAAGCAAAATACTCGAACGACTATGTAATCTACAAGCCTTTGAATTACTATGTTACCGTTTTGGCTTCAGACCTCTTACAATATGACATAATGGGTAAGAGTAAGCAAAGATAAAGATTCTAAAGTCAAATATGAGGAAGATTTTGCCCAGGATTACCTGAATAATTGATCTGGAGCATCCAAACAGCATGTATTGCTCTGAGCCATTGACAGTGCCTGCTGTTTCTTTTCCGAATCTAGGTTGGTCAGCTTTTCACCAACCTATTGGAAAAGGTTAAATAATTTTTTCATAACTAAATCCAGAAATTTCAACTATTCCAAGATGTCCATTTTGTAGTTCAAGGATATAAATAATAAACATAATTTTGGTGCATTGACAATTTTCATTGTGAGTTACCAAACTAATGGTTCAAACATATTAAAGAAGAAAATGAGACTTGTTTCGGGTAAGAACACATTGTGATAACAAATCTATGGATCAACATTTTATTTCCCTACTTGATCCTGGCAGCACCATTTGTTGGAGCCATACAACGAAAGGGTATTTTAGAGTTCTGCATGCAAAAGGAGTGGTTCTAACTCATAGAGAGCAGCAGGCTTGCAAAACAGTTCTTGCAAGTCTACATTAAATCGACCATTTTACTTAAATTACCCACTTAATCGCACATAAATTCAGAACATAAGAGAGTAGTTCATGGAGAAACTACAATACCAGAATAACTTTTGTTTGAGAGAAACTGTACCTGATCATGCTGCTGTACAAAGGTAGTTGTTTAGATCTGGTTGAGATGACTGCTAAAAGCCAAATAGGCTAACCATCTAAGGCTGGCATGTATAGAGATATACCACATTGAAGAACACTTTCCATCAGAAGAAGTCATCAAATATCCCGTCCCGGTCATTTTCCCAGTTTCCAGAACCTGCACAATGCAACCAACCAAAAGGAAGGAAGGATATATAGTACAGTTTTCTGAAGCAGGTTCAGTTTAAGAAAAAACAAAGAGAAAATGAAGCATGTAGCTACAACTAAGCTATCAATATCTATGGATAAAAGGGAGACTTCTACTAAATGGAGAACAAGTGCACATTCCCCTACTCTTTTTTTTTTATCTCAGTAAATGTTGCCATACTTAAGAACTAGTAAAATTGCTCAAGCTACCCTAAGGGACACTATACTGACCTGAGATATCAGCTGCTGCCAGATCCTGAACTATAAGCTGAAAAGCATGAGAATCTGGAGAAGAAAATTGGGTTGGAGTTGAACCAGGAGCTGGAAATGTAAAGTCAGAGTTGGTACACGTAGCATCAGCTGAAGCAGATGTAGCATCATCAGGATAACCTCTAGAAATGAGTCCCGAAGCTGAACTCTGGCCGGAAGAAGGATGTAATATCATTTTCAGCTCTGAGAATTGGTCTGATATACTGTAAATCATCCTGAGGCACACTAGATCATATCTAGTATTAGTCATATGACACGAGATTCTAATGTTAAAAAGGAAACTATAAGATGCAACTCCAACTTATAGTAAAAATATTAGAGAAGTCTTCAAGGTGTTGACAGTTTAATGATGACCCTACTTATCATTACTTATCCTTAGTCCCGTTTGTCTACTACGCTTGTTTTCATTCGAGTCTCTTTTCCAGATGCATCCTAAAAAGTCGCTAATTAAAAGATCTAGGTGATTATATCCCATTACACCAAAGACTCAAGATTGCTTTCCTCGGTAAAAGAAACATGCTCACAAGGTTTCCAAAGTAATTCAACAAAAAGCAGGAACAGGATATCACTCAACAAAAATGGAACTTCATAAGAAAAGGAGCTAATAGATATCAAGCTGTCTTAAGTATTTTATTTAGAGCTTAGAAAGGAAAAATCTTTCCCAAGATAAACAGTTCTGCTTTCTTTCCTCAGTAGGAGGGACTATGCTGCCTTTATGATATTACCAACCATACAAAAACACAACATATATAAAAGTAAAAAATAGAAGAACACAAAACAAGGAAATTTTAATATGCCATGGATATTGTTATATGTTGCTACTCCATTCTGGTCTGAGCCAAGACTTGAAGAGAATCTTCCTCTTTATTACTAAGAAGAAAGTAGATAAAAGTGAGAGGGAAACAAAGAGATCTTTTTTTGTTGTCTTATACTGGGAGGATGCAAGAGGACAGAAAAGACCAGCTTGAAGCTGTCAATGATTTGAGGCAATCTTATCCATTAAATTCTAAGACAGAGATCAATTATATCAAAGGTAATTCTGAAATGAAATTCCATGGATGCCTTTGCACCAATGAAAAGCTTGAAAGCTTCATATAACTCAGCAACTAAAAAGAACATCAACATTATGGAATGCATGTAGGACTCCAGATTCAGTTTTACCATAAAGAACCAGCACACATCTGTCTTAGTAAGATTGCTGCCAATAACAATCTTCAAAATTATATGTTGCCAACAACCAACTTATGGATCCCCGACTACAGTAGGATCTAACATCTTCAGAGTTACATGATTAACGCAAAACTACTGAAGATGAAAACTTTTGTTTCAATTCTTGAAGCAAGATGCAGCACATAACTTCTCAAGGGGTCACCAGTCATATTCTGCTCTTGCTAAAGAATGTTTAGATTTGGAGTTCTGGTGGAATCAAATGCATTAGTGATACGATGATAACATCCAATGATCCAAACTTTCAGTGAAAACAAAAGGGACAATACGAAGGAGACCCCCAAAATAAATATAGAAGGTTATAGAGGATTCACAGCACTTCATTTAATAAAAAAGACAGAAAAGAAATATGCATTTATAGCAAGATATGAGACCACTAGTCGAAAATCTATGCGGCAAGAAGAAGATAAAAGATAAAATCTATTCGAAAATTTCCAGAGACCTACCGGGAGAACTTGACAAATTCTAGAAACTTCCCCGACATAATTGCCAATGTACCCTTAGATAACCCCAGCCCAATCTTGAAAAACAGGAAGTTGATCATGTTTAAATTATCATTTCCACCAAGTAGTCCACAATGATTCGACCAGTTCTATATGACCAATTCAGTTTGTTTAAAGAAGATAATTGTCCAGGCTGAGTGGTTCAGTAATTCTTTTTTCTTTCTTTTTGTTTGATGAATCAAATAAATCATTTCATTAATAAGCACCAAGGTGATGCCGAAGTTACAACAATTTCGAAGGTGTTTGAAAAATCCATTCCATTGTCTATACATAATGGAATGCTTTCTTTACACCGACAGTAGAGATACAATAAACTCTTGATCATCCATGTGATTTTCAACTCCTCCAAGCATCCCTTTTTCCATTCTCTTCATATTTACCAAAAGATGTATAGGTTGCTAACCTCCATATTTTCCTCCCGTCTCTCCCCACTTTTATCCTCCAAGATGCTAGTTTCTGCATTAGTTCTAGGGAGTACCCAAGAGATATTGGACAAAGAATACACCTTACTCCAAGGTTCTGTTGCATAGTTGGAGTGAAGGAGCAAATGATTGGTGCTTCTCAATTCTTCTTGCACATACAACACTGGTTATAATGATGCATCCCCTCTTCCTCAGGTTATGCGCCGTGAGTATAGCATCCCAAGCAGCACTCCTTGTAAAAGATATCTAGAAAATATGATATTAAGACTAGTTTGTTTATGCTATCTTATATGTGTATATTATAAGCCAATATAAAGATATGCCAATTATTTGTCTTGGCTGAGCATTTTGCCATGATGAGCAGTTCCAAAGCAAACGAAGTTAAGCAATCTGAAGTTACTGAACTGCTTACAGAAATCTATCAATGATTGAATTCAAATAGTATCATGTCATTTAGAATCAAAATCAAATATTGAACACAAATAGCATCATGTCTTTAGAATCTTCCTGAAGGACACATATCACATTGCTTCAGAGGGACACTAACTTAAGGACCCTTTCAGGGACATTTTGAGCAATTTACCTATTAATCACATGACAAAATTCATATGAGGTTTGTACATTAAAAGCAGAAGATGATGTTAGAATTAGGTAAAAGAGTCCTGATTAGTTTCTGCAGTTAATTTCTGAAATCTAACCCCCTCACATGAAATGGTTAGAAAGAACAGCTGGTAATTTCACACAGAAATATAGCTCTCAAGTTTGTATTCAGTTTTAAATGGTTCAGAAAGAACGAGAAAAAAGATATATCCCCCCCACCCCCCAAAAAATAGTATATTTTTGAGAGCATTTTCACAGTTGATAAGTTTATCGCTCAGAAGTTGGTGATTTATATTGTTACAAGATGAAAGGACTAAATCTGGTACCAATTATTCGAGTAAAGGTACCTGTTAACTGAATCCTGAAGTTGTTGAACTTTTCTTTCAGTTTCTTCCAACTTCCGGCACTTCTCTTTACTTGATTCTTGAACTTCAGCACATTTCCTCTCAGAATCATCAGCACGTTGCTTTTCTTTTTGATATAACACCTATCAATAGGTATAAGCATGAGAACATCAACATTCAACCATATGTAACTGGAAAAAGATGAATGCTTTCACCTATTTTTCTCTATCTTCTCTACTCATTTTAGGGTTAGGGCAAGGGAATGTGAAGCTGAAAAGTTGTGGGGATCACTCTTCAGCTGACAGTTCATACCTTTAAAGTTTTCAACTCTGCAGTTAAAGATTCAATGATTTCTTCATCCTCGACAAGAATTGGTTTCTTATCAACAATCAAAGAGTCTTCTTCAACTGCTTTTGGAGCAGCCTCATATTCCCTGATGGGCAGTGTATCTGTTTCACTCAGTTTGCTTTGCATGTCTCGCATTGAATTATGCAATTTTGCTATTTCCTGATCCTTTGCCTCTTCCAAGTCCATCTGCAAGGTATTTTCCTATTTGTGAGTTGCCGAATGCTTCAAATAGTTCAGCTTTCTCAAAATGAAAACTCGTAGTAACCCACAATCCTAAGATTGGCAAGACTGTTTAACTTTAAGGTAATATCTTATTTTATCAATGCTATCCAATTAAAATTCTCAAATGTATTATAAATATAGTGTAAGGAAAAAGAAAGATTTTATCTGCTTAGCACAAGTATATCACCCTTAGACGTTTCTCCAACTGCAACTGCAATCTAAGTTCTTCCACCTGTTTTTCAAGCTTATCCTTTGCCTCTATAAGTGCACCTGTTTCTTTTGAAGCCTGAAGTATTTGAAATGTATATTAGCAAAATCCATAGAATTTAAGGAATATATTTGTAACATTCAACAGATAAGCCTATCAAATTGCAAGCAACAGTTTTGATGCACTCTACTGTATTTCACGTGGAAAAAGCCAATCCCGATCCCACAGCAGGAAATTTAGGGGAATCATGTCACCAAAAATAAAACTAGAAAAGAATTGAGAGACTGCACTAGCTAAGACCAATAACTTACACCTGGTTCTTTTTCAAAATCATGTTTTACAACGTGCATAGCTGTGTTAACCCGATGTGACCACTTACACTAATAACTACTAGCACTTAAATATCTAACTATTAGCTTGTGACTTATACATCCAAAGTAAGTGACACATACATATGTTCTTCCAATTTGTACAGTTCCTATATTAAAAAGATATCAGTACTTCTGATCTGTATTTAGAATTCTAACCACTTGTCTACAAGGTTTAATAACAAGAATCTTTATAGATACTTCTTACTTCCACTGAAAGCTTCAGAGAAGTAATTAAACAATCCCTTCATCTACTCTTGTTATGTAAATAATAGTAACAAACAAGTGAACCATATACCATTTCAGTAAGGGAAAATTACGCGGTTAAGCAAATTTATACTACTTAATTACTCATCATAGCTATAATTTGCTATAATTACCACTCGCGATTAACATTATACATTAATTACGTGGGCTGACTTCGAGTTTGTATAATTAGTCACGTTGTATATGTATAATTCGCCAGAATATACAAATACATATGTATAATATACAATTATATAACTGATATACATATACAATTCACCTCTCTCCCACTCTCTGCCCTCTCTCACTCGCCTCTCTCCTCCCTCTCCCAATCTCGCTTGCCATATATACAAATACATATGTATAATATACAATTATCTAACCGATATACATATACAATTCACCTCTCTGCCCTCTCTCTCCTTCCTCTCCCAATCTCGCTCGCCTCTCTCCTCCCTCTCCCAATCTCGCTTACCACATATACAAATACATATGTATAATATACAATTATCTAACCGATATATATATACAATTCACCTCTCTCCCACTCTTTGCCCTCTCTCGCTTGCCTCTCTCCTCTCTCTCCCAGTCTCGCTCGCCTCTCTCCTCCCTATGATATGTAGCTACGAATTGTAATTATCAAACTATAGCTATAGAGAGTAATTAGGCTATTTTTGAGTGGCTATATGTGAAAGTTCCTCTTTCAGTAATCAAGCTCTGTCTAACAAATAGATCATTCAGGCCATTCATATCATCACCCCATTGCTATGCTAAGGAAATCGGAAACATATGTCACACAGGTTATAGAAGAGTATAGTAATCCAGAACTTACCATCTTTAGTTTGCGAAGCTCTCTCCTTGCAACAATTCCCCTCCATCTGCATTGTGTAAAAATTGATGCCCATATGAGTTTCCTATAGTATGAAAGGACTTTGTGACGGCGCTCATAGGCCTGCAAAAAATTTATCTTGTCAACACTTGAGAACAAACTTTGTAAGACCTCTGAATCTATACATAATACCCAATAAACTAACCTGTATAATCAGAGCTCCCTTGGTTCGCTTTTCATATCTGAACTTAGTTCGTGCAGCTGCCACTCGAATTCCAGTCTGAAGAGCAATGACTGCTAATTTAAGTTTCGTGTAGGATTTTCTGGCTAAGTGTCCACGCAACTTTGTCTGGATTTTGAGAGAAGCAGCCTCTCTTTTCAAGGTAACATATGATTTGAAAGCAAACCTTGCTGAAGAATATGACAGAGTGAGCACATAAATTTATTAAAGGCAGAAAAATTGAGCAGCCTATTGGAATGGTAGGCTGTTTATTTCCAAATGTCCTTTCAGTTCTAAGAGGGCAAGAAAATACAGCTGTTATTTCCATGGTGCTCATTTTTACAACAACAAAACATGCATAAGTGATCTAAGTTTAAGCACCTAATGAGGAGGATGTCTGAGTGATGGTATTACTTTACTATCATATAGTTCAGACAATATACACAGATTAACTGATTAAGCAATTGTGTTACATGCTAAGCTGCCAAATTACGTTTGAAAGAGCCCTTAGACCATGGTGATGGAAGGAGATTATGGAAATCGAATCAATGGTTAGAAACTCTGTGAAAGGCAAAAACAATAAATATTCTGAGAACAAGAAGTATCTATCCAGAAAAGAAATTCCAATTAATAATTTTATTAGGCTCGTCTAAAGAAGAATTTGATGATAGTACAGATATGAAAGCAAAGTTGATTTGTTTCGTGGTCTTTTACTATCTGTAATGAGACAATCAAACATACATCAATATACACAATGGTATATTGATAATCCCCTCCGCTTCCCACATTTAAAAAAAAAAGAAGAGATGGTTACTTTTTCTTGGATGTAAATCTCTACAAAATATGACTCCCGTTATTTTTTTTGAAGTTTTAATTTCCACTTTCCCCAAACTTTTGCCCCATTATTTTGAAAATAAAACAAAAATTGCTGCTACATCTCTATGGGAGACAATTCCAGCATGTATTTGGAGGGTGGTGTGAAAAGAAAGGAACCAAAGATACTTTGAAGGAAAAAAAGATAATATAAAGCGTGAGAGAAAGGAGTCAAAGATAGTTTGAAGGAAAAATAGGGAGTATACAAAACTACCTCAACACTAAGCTAGACCTAGTTAAGGTCAGCTATACGAATCCTCATTATCCATTTCCTCTATTTAAATTCAACGTATTCCAGCATTCAATGAATTAGCTTCTCTAACTGTAGAAGTATTCAATATTTTCTGCTGATATAAAAATCACCCGACAAGATGATTAAGAAAACACCTAGCGGATATTGGACTTGACTCATAACTTTGATGCTCTCCTGTCTTATCAAAGTACCGGAATCAAGAAACTCTTGCTCACTCATTTGGCATCCTTCCGGTCCTTAGTATATAGCATGAGGTAGCTTGGTAAGCCATACACCTCTGATCTTTCCAAGGAACTTTCAAACCATTATAGGGATATCATCTGGACCACTGGCTTTTTCCAATCCCCGAGGATTTTCGTGGCATGCTTCACTTTTGTAGGCCTAATTCAACTAGGTATAGCTAAAGTCTATCATGTACAGATAGATATATGGAGATCTTTAAAGCTATCCTACTGATTCAAGTTGAACAATCAATAAAAATAGCATCTCCATCTCTCTTTGATCTAATTATCTCCTGTAAAACTTTAATACACTTGAGCTGGTTTATCTTTACCCATCTTCTCCCAAATGCAAAAAATAGAGAATATACTTGGACTAAAATAAAAAATGCTACTTAGACTAAAATAAAAAAAGGATTCTCTTTTTAGCTTTACGTTGCAACCTGATCAGTATACAAGAGGAAGATTCTCTCCTGGAATTCCTTTTATTTAACTGGATAGTAAAGAAATTGAGGGAGGAACAGATTACATGATTAAGCTACCAAAATGCCCCAGCAAGTAGAAAAAATGAAACTTAGTACATGAGTAAAACATCTAACTTTCAAAACAAAGTCCACAATGTGCGATAGAAAAGGCAAAGAGATAATGATAGACAAACCTCGACACAAGGATTGTAAGCAGATTGCCACCTTCTGCAAAGAAACATAATCTCTCCTAGAAATATGACATCTAGTTTCCTTTTGTATTGTCTTAACTGCAGCAGATAGCTTTAGTGCTCTGTGTGCATCTAGCTCCGCCATCTGCCCTGATCTCAAAAAAATCTTTGTTTGTCCAATCTGCAAAACAATTGTAGCAACCCTAACTGAAGTATAACTTGACTCGTAAATTTGGGAAGTTATTTTGAATGAAAGAAAAGAATATCAGCAGTGCCTAGTAATGGGAGAAAATAATTTCAATGGGTACACAATATTGTGGAGAAATTTTCAAACATCAACTTCAACTACAGATATCAACAGCGCCTAGTAACGGGAGAAAAGCTCTCAGTGTCTCAGATTAGGAAATTTCACCAGTAATGCTCAACTATATGCAACCATCTAGCAGCAAAAATAATATACAATGCAAGTAAAAGACAAAATATCAGTAGTCTTGAAATTGAGAGCAATTTAACACGTGCTCGAAGTCCAAGAGAATGATTTCCTTTTTTGCATCCCCCCACCCCACCCCACTCACACAAACAAACAAACAAAAATAACTTTATTAAAATATCTGAACTTGCTGCTTGATAGATGCGATTTGTTAACTGAGGCAGGCCTTGCAAGGTAGGTAAAATTTTGATATAAGCTTTAAGGATTGGCTTACATTCATCAAGATGATGGTGAAGGAAATATAAATTTCCCCCTACTGGATGAAATGGGGCGCACACACATAAATGTGTACCCACAAGAGTGAATGATTTGATACTACTGATCTCGACATTCAAGAAATAAAATAGATTTCCAAAATAGCAAGAGAAACATCAAATAACCTGATAACCAGCAAGCCCTATCTTTTCTAATAACTTTTTGCACGCAACTTTTTCATCATCCCTGCCCACAAACAAGTTAAAGAAAGATAACAATATCAACTTCTAATAATCAAAGAAATTGAGGAAACCACAAGATCCTTTTCTTTTTCTTGGGGGGGGAAGGGGATCAAGAACAAGACCAGTACTTACTGCTCTTGGAAGACCTCTGGAGCAAGAACACCAAATCGATTCATAAACTCAGAGAATGTCTTATGCGTGGGATAGCCAGCACAACTAATTCTGATTGCCTCTAGAACACCCTTCAAACAACAAAATATAAGCACATAATTCAAGACTTAAAAAGATTCTACATAAGAAACTGTGAAATTTACTCACACCACAACGTAGCTGCTGCATAATGTTAACGTTCTCAAATATTGCCGGTTTCAGAAGACTGTTAGGCTTCACACATCTAATGTAATGAGGTTCTGTAGAATTCAGAGTTTCCATCAATGATTGGAGTTGTAACTGCAACAGTGAAATTGGAACATTAGAATCTTTCACATACTTAAAGTAAAGACTTGGAACTAGGCTGTTAGTTCTTTGGTGAAAAATACTCTTAGATCACAAAAATCTAAGAGGGCATAATGGATAAAGTAATATATAGAATTAAACTTGTGGTTGAAATGGAGAATGATATGAAACTGATGATACCTACCAAATATAAGGCAAGTTTTATATTATGGTTATTGATTAGCAGTGTTAATGAGAGTGGGAGTTGGACCTCTAAAGTGTAACATATCCACGGGATGAGTGTCAAAAGTCGCAGAATTAAGATGGTTTTGCAATGATACAATAATAGACAAGATTAGAACGATCATATCCCTGCACTTTGACATCTGATGTAGACATATCTCTACATGATGTACAAATCTCTAAACATACAATCTAGTCATGATTGTAAAAAAAGGAACTGAAATAACGAGATGAGTGTCAAAAGTCTTTTTAGTACAAAAACTCTGATTTGGATAAAACTACAAATTATTAAGCATTGGGATGAAATAAAATGGAACTGAAAGGATATTGGTGGACTCATTTGGGTAATCAAACTCATTTTCTATAGATGCTTAGTTGATTGATAGATCACCAAAATTCATAAGTATATAAGTTCGTAACTACCTTGAAACGAGAACCAATGGATGAGAACTTGGAAGATTTGGATGAAGATTTAGTTGACTCCTCAGCAACAGGAGGAAAAAGGCCCACTACAAATGGGCATTTAGAAGCACTTAACAAATCCTGATGCTCAGGAACGACATAGTCTTTGTTCTTATCTAAAAACTGATCAGACTGGTATTGAACCTGGTGGGGAAAAAAAAGGAAACATTTAAAACTAGTAATAATGCTCCATATCCACCGTAGAAGCAATTGACTAGAGTTCTAGGGAAATACACATATCATATTACCTCTCCAGCATAATGAGCAATGGTAAAATCAGTGCGGGACAATTTTGGTTTGACAAAGCGTTTGTTGGTCTTGAATATCTGATAAAGCTTCTGTGAGAATGTTTCATGAGTTGACTTGGGGAACATACTGGAAATTCCATTTCAAAGAAAACATAAATTAGAACATTCGTCTCTATCACAGAAGCTCAGATGAATTGTTACATATCTTACCAGGCTTCATCAAGAAGAGCAATGATGCCTCCAGGTTTCTGTAAACACAATACAAATCAACTCATCATATGCCACTTCACATGATACAGTGATTTGAAAAAAGTGTTACGATTTTAAAGCAGTGTTGGTAAGGGATGAACCCAAGGTAATCAATTCTTGCTAACAAATGCATGGTGCTTTTAATGAATATGAGCTCACTTTAAACATCAGAGATGCTCCTAAGAATGTAAGCTCACTTAGATGTTCTAGTTTCAGTTTCTTAATTGCCTATCCTAAAGGATATGATAAAGATGCTCTGTTCTAAATTCCGGGTGAGTTCCTAAACAATATTAAGAAAGAATAAAGCAGAGATAAATGCATGTACATTTTATCTGGGAGATGCTAAATGGCCATGGACATGAATTCAGATAAAGAAATGTCAACTAGAGGGATCTTAGACTGTATTAATAATAAAAGCATGCATAAGGTCCTTGGGTCTAAGTGGAATATGCCAGAATACGCAGCAGATCTTCAATTGGTAGAACTTTTAAGATCTCTATAATTAGTTTTTGGGTTCACAATTAGTGTTGATAACTTTTTGGAGGTGTCCTGCATAGAGGAATACAAATTACCAGTTTTCGAAAAAAATGTGAAACCCAAAAAAGTAGCATACTCACAATAGTTAAATGATACTTAAAAGTTCTACATGTAACTTAACTTAAACTATAAAACAAATAATCAACTATAAGTATAGATGTTACTTTGATTTATATTTACAATTAATTCAACAATCATTTAACTGGAAATCTTTCCATTTAACTTGCTGCATGAATATTATATGCATAACACAAATTTTATTCTCACATTAACCAACTACTTGGAGTTCTACATATAATAGGATTATAATGAAATATTATCATATTCAACTTCTAACATTTAAACACAAGAAACTTATTCTCAAGGCTATGACTTATGAGTTGGTACCCAGGCGTGTACAATAGTATTCAGAAGCTAGAATCCAAAAAGAATCTGACCAAACAAGTATCCATGGCAACTATTAGTACTAGCATTAGTTGCACAAGTTTCGCTGCTCAATGCAGCAATGGAATAATATACAGATGACAACTACAATACGCAACATGATATATTTGTATATATGGGGAGAAAAGGATTCACTGTACCTTTTCAATAAGATCTAAAACATCCTGGTTGTCCACGAATTCTATATAGCTCCAGTCTATCTCTTCCTTAGTGTATTCCTCCTGCTCCATCTTGAACATGTGCTGGAAAGAGATGATTTCACAATAGCTGAGTTGTGCTTAGCAAAATGGACAGAACTGCTTCTATAAAATTTCAACTAGCATACCTGGTTAAAATGTTGCTGCAGCTTCTCATTAGTATAATTAATGCAGAATTGTTCAAAACTGGAAATAGAAGTTAGAAGAGTCAAATGCAAGACACCGAGTTAACTAGTTGTTTTGTTTGTCCACCAGTGCCTACCTATTACTTTTGAAACTTTCAAAACCATAAATGTCAAGAACACCAATTAGAGATTTTGAGTGAGGATCTTGTCCAATCGAGTTATTTATTTTGTCCACCAACCTGTGAACAGTAGAAAGGATGTGTTTTTAGTGTCAATGTAAGCGATCAGAACCACAGTAATCTGGCTGTGACGGTCGAAGCATACCAGTCGAATAAGCGAGAATATAGTGTTTTAGCTAATCCATCTCTGCTTACTGCTGCAGCTTCAGGATCAAGACTTCTCTTTATAACTTCTTCAGGAGTGACCATTACACGTCTTAGTAGGGCATCCTCCAGTGAAGTAACATCACACCTGATAGAAGAACCAAATCAAATAAAAAAATTCATGCAAGAAAGAGCAAAGGAAGAATAGTGGGATATGGACGGCAGAACATACATCAGAAGCTCTGCAGTAGTTTGAAGATGAAACCTAGATTTGTCATCTTTCACAACTGATGAATCAACTTCATTGCCCTTTTCGAATTCTATATTACCAAGATGAAGAACAGAAGCCACAACACTAAAAATTGCTTCCTGAAGAAGAAACAGCATAGCTTATTCGAATCAGAAAGGGTAATTTGCAGGAGAGACAAAAGCAATTAGAGCATTACCTGCTCTTTCTCGCTAATTCCAACAATATCCATTGCCCTCCTTATCTCAAGATAGTCATGGGCATCATTAACACCTACTAGTTCATAGCAATTTGATTGGTTGAGATAGCGAAATGATTTGGGATCCCCCAACTTGTACCTTTTGATCTCCTGTTAAGATTGGGAAAATCTCAAAAGGATATGGTGAAAATCAAATTAACTCGGGCCGATGAAAGATGTAAAAAGGAATAGCACTGATGCAAATTACCTCCTGTGGTGCTGCACATAGAAGGTAGAAACAGTGATAGTTCCGTTCAGGGTCTGAAACTTGGCAAACTCGAGATCTTTCAAGAAGATACGTTCTAATAGCTGCTCCAGATATTCTTCCATTCTTATCAAACTGAATCTCCACAAATTTACCGAAACGGCTGTAAACAACAGATTCTAAGTAGCTTTAGGAAGGAAAAAATTTCAACTGAGTGCTGAAGCAATTATGAGTCTATTTTCTTATTGAAGCATGCGTAGAGTAGTTTATCTTACCTTGAATTGTTATTTCTAACTGTTTTGGCATTGCCAAATGCTTCAAGTACTGGATTTGACTGGAGATATAACAATCATGAGTTAAAAGAATAATATAGCCAATAGAGAAGACTTTAAAAGAATAATATAGGCTATAGCCAATAGAGAAGACTTTAAAAGAATAACATAGGCTATAGCCAATAGAGAAGGCTCTAAGAGAAATAGACAGAGAAACTATCAGTTTGAAGCCCTGTCCACTTGATTTAGTCTGTTTAGACATGAAACATAGCCTCTAGGAAATTATTTGATTCAAACGGATGTGAAAGCCTTCCAAATACTATGAAATTTTCACATACACATTGACCCCTCTACAAACTTTCAATTAAGGAAACTACAATCAAATTCATCAAAACCAAATTTACATTTATTGACGAATGTCATTTCAAAAATTTCACTATATGTATTATAAATTATTTAGTTCAGAAGTTACATCAACACTGCAGATTCTTTTTTATACTTTATAATCTTTTTATAAGTATACTATATCACTTTTCATTAAAGAAATATAATCATTAAATTTACTTTGAAAAATTACTGTACCAATTTTTGAACCACATCCTTTTCTTAAATTTAATACTACATTAAACTCCACTTTTTATGTGAATATGATACTTCATTTCTTTTCCACGCATTCACATCTCCAACAACAATCAATCAACCCTAACTAGTAAGTGTTAGTCAAATGAATCATTTGTATCTATTCCATTCTATTTGGGTTCCATCACTGACATTCACATTACTAAGTCTGTATAGCTGAAATTGTGCAGAATTTAAGCATACAAGTTCCTAAGTACCTGTCCATGTAATTTAAGGAAGTACAAGAATTTAATGCCAGTAATCCAAGCATTTAGCTTACCTCCAGCACTTGTTGTTCCACAGTCCGTTTTTGAGTGCCCTTATGGCCGCCCAAATAGGCAAGATATTGCATAAGCATTTTAGTAGTTTCAGTCTTACCAGCACCACTTTCACCACTAACCAGTATAGAATTGCTTTTACCCTCGTTGATCATCGCCCTGATTCATTTTCAAGATTTTGGTAACAAAGCATTATTTATCATGAGAAAAATAATGTGGAGTAGAAATGGTATACAGGAGTACCTGTAAGCAGTGTCAGCTATAGCAAAGACATGAGGACTTAGTTTACCGAGTTGTACTCCTTTGTATTTTGCCATCATGCGGCCATCATATAAATCAGGCAGTTTTTGGAACGGATTAATGGCTATAAGAATACTTCCAGTATAAGTCTGGCAAGATGTCAGAGTATGATTAATATTATGACAAAGCGATCTGTAGCTGCAATTTCAGTCCTTTCATTCACCAAATTGAACATAAATTAAATAAAGTTTTGAGCATTGGACTATAAGCTTACATAGATTTCGTTGAGTTGATATCTTGTTGCCAAATTATGTAAGACTCCAGGTTCATGCAAATATGAAAGTTCAGTCATGTCATCCACTCCTCCATCAGGAGCATCTTCATCCTTGGGGTGAGTTTTTGATAAAGTTGCTACAACCTAGACGAAATGAAAGAAAAATATGCAATAGTAAAAAGCCAGGACATTGCCAGTTTGAAGATGTGTATTCTCAATTGGGGATCGCATCAATGTGGCTTAGCATAAAACTAGAGTTAGATAGCAGTAAATTAGAACAAATGCAGTGAATCTTTCTTTTACCACTAGAATATGATAAGTATAGTTACAATAACGTGCCAAGATTTGTGGAAAGAAGGTTAAATGAAAATACAGTTAAAAAGCAGAAGGAAGATAATGGATACATATGGGTATGGAAGCCACAAAAACCATACAGTTGCAAACTACATAACGTGCATCAAAAAAAGACTAGGTGAGTCGTATATAGATATAAAACTAATAACTCAAATGAGACTAGAAATTAGATCCATTATATTCTTAGTAGTTGAAAGACATTGTGAATTTCCATCATCAGAATATTGTATTTCAAATCATTTTAGAATCTAATCAATTAGGCTATAGGAAAACCAGCTTTTAAGTTAAGTTAGACCTTGATCACACAATTGAGTCCAGCGTAACTACTAAAATGCTATTATGGGAAAATAAATAAAGCAATAGTAATTTCATGAATGAATACTGTTCAATGTAAAAGAGTTAGTCGTACCGTCCTCCCATCAGATGTCTGAACCTGAACTTCCTGTCCATTAACCTCTGATACTTGTGCATCAATCCAAGCAACTGATGGATCCTCAATCCACACTTGAGAACCTACAGTAATATTTATTGGAATGCCCTGCATAGATGATTAAGATTCTTTTTAACTGTAGGAAAAGAATATAATTCGCATTGTTATAAGAAAAGAATATAATTTGCACGATCTAAGGATATACAAAGATGACACATCTAAACTGACATGCAGACATAAAATCAATAAGCATCGTAAAAAGCTAAATGTTAAGGGTTCAATAACTACTTTGTAGCCCCAAAATGTTTCAATTTATGCTCCTAAGTATAAAGTAACATGATAGCGAACTTTACAATAGTATTTGTAAACGTTAACTTGCATTCCATTCACACAAAAAGTCTAAAAACAGAACAAGAACATAAGATATGTAGTACATCACTAGATGTCCTGCTTTAACTTCTTTACATCCAACTTAGAAAAGCCTGAGCACCTTCTCACCCCTTGCTCAACATAGCCTCCGCTCCCCACCCAACAGAACTTCACTGGTTAAGAATTCTCCATCAACTTTTCAGGGTTCACATTTTCTGACATCAAACAAGTTAATATTACTCTTTCTGTAGTATAATTGTTCTGTTGATCAATCTCCACGGCGATGCTACAGCAGCATTCTAACATAATGTAACATGCCTTTATTAGTTTCCTAGACAAACATAAATTAGTCTCCTGCAGAGGGGAGAGGGATGTGAGCAACCACATGATATTCGCTGATTTTTGGTTCTATCTCTCTCTTGCGCACACATACAGACACACGCCTTTCGTTGCAGTTGTGACTTTCGACCCATGAAAATGGAAGTACAATTCAAGAACTATAAGACTTCAAACTACTTCAAATAATTGGTTTAAGTTAGTGTCCACATACATAATCACTATAACCTGTGTCAACAAACAACTACTGTCCGTCAATCCAAAAGTAGCTGGGATTCACTATTTATACAATCCAACAAATTATCCACTTAATGTAAACTCATACAGAAAAGATTACATTCTCAGATGCTGAATTCAAATGAATATACAATTACTACATCTTAATCCGGGGCGGAGCTAGAACCTAACTAGCTTTGGCTCAAGCCCTTTATTTTTTTTTTTCAACAACGCAGTAATAAGCTGTGTTTTCTAGATTCCAGAACCCATAAATGAGCTCAGGCATCTGATCACTGGATCCTACAATCCTCTTACAAAGCAGAAAGTCCTTTATGTCACTTATTTTCAATCGATTGTAAAATTGATTAATCATTTTCTCTCCATATTCTCTAATCTATGAATATTTTATCCAATAATGATGACAAACAAAATAGCAGCAAAATGAAACGGAAAATAAAGTTAAGACTCACCATTTTTATCGGAGAAAGAGCTAATCAATTTTGCATTTCCATTGAGAAGAAAAAAAAAATGAAGAATGTGGTCGCATAAATTGTGAAAATTCCAGAAATCGAAAATCGCCGGTATCGGAAGGGAGATTTGTGTAATAATAAAGTGATGGGCGTCGACAGAGAAGGTGATTACTTAATTGATCGGCGTAAGAGAGATTGATTTTGATCTCATGGAATGATCGATGAATGGATGCGACAATCATTGTGACGAGAAACTGTACGCTGAGAAATAGGAATTTTCGAAATCTTCGCCTATTTTCGAGTGCTTTTTGTGGCTCTCTTCGCTTTCCTTCTCCGTGTGCGTGCATGGGGTGGGTTTGCACTAATACGATTGTTTTGCACATTTTATCCCTATTTTTAACCTTTTTTTGCAAACGTAGCCTTAATTAAGTATATATTTTTGTCATATTTACTAGTAATTCTTTTTTATAATTTAAATTAATTCTATATTGTCTAATCAGTGGCAGATCCAGAATTTCCACTTACGGGCTTCGAAAAAAAGAGAGTAGTGCCTAAGATTTGATCTTGGAACAGTTTTGAACCCCTCAACCATTAAATCAACCTCTAATCTTACATTCACAAAGTTCAAAATCAATATATAGACATGAAAATTCTTAAAAATACCTTAAATAGACAGCGTAATTCTTTGTTGAGGGGTTTGGTGAACCCCCTCAACAACCTCTAGGTCCGCACATGTGAATAACTAATTAATAATTTCGACATAAATTTTCAAATCAAATACACCTAGATATATGTATTTTTTGGTACTAGATACAGTGGAATAGAGAGAGCCAAGCAAGAGAAGGAGAGACACGAGTGAGATAGTGTATGTATCTCAAATACCTACGAATCACACTCGATACATATATATGAGATACTAGATACATTTTAAAAGAGAGGTATATAGGGAGAGAGGCAAGCGAGAGAGTCAAATACATGTGAAACTACTTAAGTACTGTGTATCTAAAATAAATTACACATAATTCTCACTCATATATCTGAGATATATGTACAAGGACATGTCAGATACATGTATCAAATTTCAAATTCTGATAAAGATTCATATTTCATAATATTGAAAACTCACCTGAAGAAAAGCAATTTGCTTGCTTAAACTAATGAAATTTGTATTAACTTTTTCCCTTTCGCTTAAAAATGTTTTATTTGAGAAGAAACCTTAACAACCAAAACAAACACAAATACTACATGTTGTGTTTGGCATGGAAAGATTTCGATTTTAAAAAAAATAAAAATCAATTGATTGGTTAAAATATTTTATAAAAATAAATTCTTTGAGATTAGAAAAATGATTTCCATGGTGAATGAGGAAAAATAATAATTTAATTTTATTAGTTGTGCACGTAGAAGATAATTTAGGTTAATCCTTTTAAATTTTATGTTAAATTTTTTTACTAAAATTGCAACAGTTAACAGACATGAACTCATAACATTAAAACTATGGTGAATACAATCATAATGAAGAACCTTAAAAGTTGAAAATATTGAACATATAGAACTAAAATTCTAAATCCACCTAGCTCAACGCTTCACTGACCCCTACCTCTACCCCCACCATCTGCACGTCTACCTTAGTGTTTGCGTAGGTCTTATATACACTTGCCTCTTGAGTTTAAAATTTTTCTTTACTTAATTATATAAACACTAAAAAATTAAGTAAAAAATCTTTTTTTAATTATATTAGTAAGTATGAAACACACCTTTTTTGAAAAATAAAATTCCTTGTCATATACTAATGGTCGTGGATATTGAATTTCTGAAATATTTTTCTCCGTTATAAACGGGTCATGACCCGTTCAATTCTAAAACTCTCAACAGTCAAACTTCCTTTCCATGACTCAAAAAGTATGCACAGCCCGTCAAAATAGAAACACAGTGTCCCTATCATCTTACGTACCAATTTCATGCATATAAATATACCCCTTCTTTTTTTGCAAATATATTCATTCATTCCATCATAAATTCTTATAACTCTATCTTTTCTGGTGCAGTTTCTTTTTTCGTTCATACGGGAATAATTTTGTCCACTTAATTATATATCATCGATCAACATGAAACCCCAAATTTGTGCGATTTTTTTCTTAATAATTACCATGATCATTTTTGTGCCACATGTAGAAGGCACTAGGATTCTTTTAGAAAAAAGAGGTCCCAACAAATATATTTGGTTATCGTCTTTGTATAATCCTGTTCCTACTCCGACACCCAACCCCGGTACCGGAAGTAGCGGCACCGCCAGTAAAACGATGGTCATGGAGAAGAATTTTGTTGGTCGGAGTAGGGTTAATAAGGTTCATTCTCCTCCCACTCAGACATCACCAAATACTCGTCCTACTACAGACGAGTATTATTCACAAACAGTATAAGTTGATAAATGGAGAGACATAAATATTCAAATAGTCGATCTCAACTTACTTGAATTATAGATTGAGACGTAATTTATAAGTAGATGTTGTCGATAATACAAGATCATTCATTCTTTTCTTTTCTTTTTCCCATTGTTTTTATTGTTTTACATGTAATTCCTGATCATGCTTCACAATAGAAGCAAAGTCAAATAATTAATTAGAAGTTACCAAATTGTTTTAATTTATAGATTTTATTGTTATAGTATAAACTGTTACTCCAAATCTCCAATATTGTCCCAGTTTTAATGTATGTTCAGTTTTTGCATTGGTTATATATGTATGGTTATTGCCTTTAATAATTTCGTTATTAAAATAATTGCTATTATCACTTCTATACTGTAAAAAACTCTGATTTTATATATGCATGAAAAGATAAACTTTGAATAACGATGAAGCTATTTTAAAAAAAAAATAATGAGATGATTACGAAAAAAGGAATTTTTTCCTCCATCGAATATATTCCTTCTCTTTGACATTTGGCTACATGCATGGAGCAGGTAATTATTTTCGTTCCCTCAATAAATGCTACTATATATATTTTACCAATTTAATATACCTTAAATCAACTACTTCTCTTACTTGTTGCGTTGGCTGTTATATGAGGTCAAAAAAGGAGGTTATGGAATATACATTTGAAATAATCATTTATTAAATCCTTGTGTATGTAATTGATTATAATTATAATTAGGACTGGAGGAATTAAGCCGTTTAATTAATGGCGCTTTTTCGACATTTGCATGCAAACTCAATGGGAACAGGTGTTTTAATTTACTAGACAATCTACGAAATTTTTTATTTTTACCAACGAAAAAGGTTGAGTATATACAACTCTTTTCAGACTTTATTTATAAGATTACACTGAATATATGTTCTTGGTTATAGAATAGGTTATTGAAAGTGGAAAAAGGAAGTTTATTTTTCAAAGTTGGAAATAGTAGTACTAAAAACAAAAAACAAATGCGATTAGACTTCTATTAGTTTTCATGTTTGGTAGCAAAAAACATGTTGTTTGACAAATTTTTACAAAGTAGACTTTGTACATATATACTGAATATCCAATACACATGCAATGCAAGCCTTTTCAGATGGGCCTAGTAGGCTACTACTCCATGAGATAAGCTAAACTTCAATGTCTGATAAATAAGCCTGAATTTCATGCATTAATTCTTTAAATTCAATCATTCATTTTTTTTTAATCAATAATCTCACCACTTCAAAATAGAAATCTCGGAAGTTCGATCCTATAATGCTTAGCTTCAATTACGTATATATAAAGTTTTTAAACTTCAACTATAAAATAATGCTTAAATAATATTTATTTCATCTTATATTAAGTGTCATCTTAACAAAAATGAACTAAATTATCGTTAACTAAGAAATGTCTCTAAAAAATTAAACATTATTAAGAAGATGGAGTATAAGGTTGTAGTTGGAAAAACATATTAATTATTGCCTTAAATTTTTAAGATAATACTTATTTTAGAATTTTCTTTTTATTAAGATAAACACTTATTTTGAAACGGAAAATTGATTATTCATGATCTTCGCACTCTTATAAGTCGTAAAACATGTAAACGCGTGTAGTGATCTGTTATACTAGAAAAAAATTATAGTATATAAAATATTGAATACAAAATTTTAAAAAAGAATTACACGTCATTTAAATCTTGATCCCAGTACAGAACACATATCAGTATTGTTGAGTTTTCTTTTGTTTATTACGTTTACCAAAATATATGACCAATTCAGTTCGATTTCTCAATTTTTCATTCTTAAGCCCAGCAGTCAATGGTCAAAGCTCTCTCCTATGAAACTATAGCTAGTAATTCTTGAAGAAATCAAAGTCTTAAAACACGTTATATTATTATGTCAGTATATAAGTACGTACATTAATATATAGAGCTTCTTCATTCAAACATTTTTACAACAATATCGATCAAGCATGATGTTAGCTCAAAGTAACAATTTTTCTTCTCATGATATTCGTATGATGATCATATTATTACTACTTTTTTTCACAATTTGCATGAGCCAAAACAAGTGAAGCAGGAAGAGTACTAAAGGAAAAAGACGAATATCTTTTATTACCATCTCTGCAAAAAACTCCGGTCCCTACTCCTACACCCAATCCAGGTACTGGTGCTCGTACGACTAATGTCATGAGCCAAATTACAGAAAGGAACTTTGCAGGTCATAAAGAGACGGAAACTCTTCCTTCTTCCAGTAATATTACACAACATAAGGTCACAGATAAGGCAGTTGGATTATTGGCTGCTCATTGAAGATATCTATCATTATAATATAAGTAACAATACTGTTGTAAATTCTAATTATTTTTATTTAATTTATTCCTATATCATTTCATTTATTTTTATTAAGTATAACGAGATGCTAATATATGGGCTTCGATAGATCAATATGTATAATTTAAAGCTATATAGTACTCTTTATGTTTCTCTTCTTACCTTTCCGCATGAAGCAATGACTTCATTATATAGTCATGACTTTTCTATTTATAGATTGACATTGGACTTTACAATTATCTAATCTTAGTAATATAACTACTTCTAAGTTATTATGTCAATATTTAATTATTAATCCTACGTTAATTAGGCTCTACTATATATATGCGTTCGGTTTAATTTCAAAATGAATAAACATGTAAAAGGTTTGCTTCTGCGTCGTCTAAACATAATAATGCTCTTTTTGTGGCGCCCACGTCTACTACTAGTGAATAAATGTCTATGATAAACGTCTAGACAACATGATTTATAATTAAATAACTCATTTTTGTGATAGATTTCAACCATCTCACCATAACTCATGTTAGATTATTGGTGGGTGTCTAATTGTTCTTTTATATTCTTTTTCATTTCTTTTATTTTGTTTTCTTAAATATGAACTAAATAATTTTGTATTAAGAAAGTCAAATATTCTGACTACAATTTGAATTTCATCAAGGAAAAAAAATATAAAAGTCATTAGCTTATTTAGAAAGATTTAATATCTATAACTTTTATATTTAAAAAAAAAATCTTTTGAAAACGTGAATAAAACTTGTATCCTAAAACGTTTTTTTCTTTCAATTTTCACAAATAAAACTTGCTAAAATAAAATTAGAATCAAAATGTCCAAAATAAACCTAAGAGAAATATCAAAGTACTAAAATGGTGTTAAAATTAAGGAGTACTATCAAAAGCTACGTGTTTATAATCTTAAAAATATGTGTATAATGGATTAAAATACTTTTTAAATTTTGTGATCTTAAAAATAACACTTGAAATATTGAAATTAAAAAGTTACGTGATGATGGTGCATAAAATAATTTTCTCATATTTATTCGCATATAACATGAGTAAATCAGTTTCTCAAATTTTCTTTGTTCAAGCAGTCAAATATTTTAAAAGAAAAAAGGTTGAAGTCTATTAACATCTAAAAAGGTTCAAATCCTATTATAACAAAACCATATTAATTAACAAGCCTATGAATCCAACAAAATCAAGAATGAATCCTCAAAATACCTAACACTTTTAGCTTGTGCCTATGAAAAATTAACAAGTCTACGGTTAAAAAGGTTAATGACTTCAAAGTTTTTATTTATTTATCATTAAAAAAATAAATTCCTATATAAGTTTCTCCTTAATTAACTCAAAACACAGTCAACGGTCAGAGCTTCCATCCACCAAAAAGAAAACTTGCTCCAAGAACAAAGACTTGATTGTTTGTAGAAGTCACAAAATAGTTGTTTAGTTTCAAATTTCATGTGTATAAATAGATACATACTTGTTTCACAATGACACATCAATCTTTCTCATCATCCTCATTTTAATACAATTGTGCAAAAACATTAACAACCTATAGATATCAACAGTTGTAATAGTATCATGAAAACAGTCCTCATCTTACTTGTTCTTCTTGTTCTCTCAAGGATTGAATCAAATGAAGCCACAAGAAATCTTGATACTCATCTTCTATTGCCATCTTTGCATACCCGTCCTCCGGTTAAGACTCCAGCACCCGATCCAGGAACCGAGGCCAATGTGAATATGGCAAGCAAGTTTAATGAAAGGAATTACTTTGTTGGTCGTAAAGAAGTTGTTGTTTCTCCCCCTTCTCCTACTAATGCATATCCTCTTGATAAAACTCATCTTCTATTACCATCTTTGCAAACCCGTTCTCCAGTTGAGACTCCATCACCCAATCCAGGAATCGAGACCAGTGTGAATATGGCACGGTTACTGAAAGAAACTTTGTTGATCGTAAAGAAGTTGTTTTTGCTCCCCCTCCTCCAACTAATGCATATCCTCTTGATAAAACACATTTTCTATTACCATCTTTGCAAACCCGTCCTCCAGTTAAGACTCCATCACCCAATCCAGGAAGCGAGACCAGTGTGAATATGGCAAGCACAGTTACTGAAAGAAACTTTGTTGGTCGTAAAGAAGTTGTTTTTGCTCCCCCTCCTCCTACTAATGCATATCCTCTTGATAAAACACATCTTCTATTACCATCTTTGCAAACCCGTCCTCCAGTTAAGACTCCATCACCCAATCCAGGAAGTGAGACCAGTGTAAATATGGCAAGCACGGTTACTGAAAGAAACTTGTTGGTCGTAAAGAAGTTGGTTTTGCTCCTCCATCTCTGCAAAAAAACCCGGTCCCTACTCCTACACCCAATCCAGGTACTGGTGCACGTACGACTAGTGTCATGAGCCAAATTACAGAAAGGAACTTTGCAGGTCATAAAGAGACGGAAACTCGTCCTCCTCCTCTTCCTTCTTCCAGTAATACTACACAACATAAGGTCACAGATAAGGCAGTTGGCTTATTGGCTGCTCATTGAAGATATCTGTCATTATTATAATATAAGCAACAGTACTGTTGTAAATTATAATTATTTTTATTTAATTTATTCCTATATCATTTCATTTATTTTAATTAAGTATAACGAGATGCTAATATATGGGCTTCGATAGATCAATATGTACTCTTTATGTTTCTCTTCTTAACTTTCCGCATGAAGCAATGACTTCATTATATAGTCATGACTTTTCTATTTATAGATCGACATTGGGCTTTACAATTATCTAATCTTAGTAATATAACTACTTCTAAGTTATTATGTCAATATTTAATTATTAATCCTACGTTAATTAGGCTCTACTATATATATGCGTTCGGTTTAATTTCAAAATGAATAAACATGTAAAAAGTATCTACAACCTTAAAGGCATAACTTAAGCAGTGGCTTCAAAATCGGATATTCGTGCACTTCAAGCTAATTAATCGGTCCTTAAGTTTAGACGATTAATATAACGCACTTTCATTTTATGAATTTATTCTTCATTAAAAAAAATAATCAAATTTTGAGTTGATCAGGCATAAGCAAATACACATATAATTGTATTTGCTTATCATTTGTAATAATATTATTGTTCACAACGATTCATCTAAACAACATGAGGATTATAATAACACCATTTTTCCTTCTTCTTCTTCTTCTTTCAAGGATCGAAACAAATGAAGCAGCAAACTGGCGCCCGGTTCGGTCTCCGGCACCCCATCCGGGAATCAGCCCCAGTCCACATCCAGGAAGTGGAGTTACTGAAAGGAATTTTGTTGATCGTAAAAAAAATTCTTTTACTCCTCCTACTTATAAACATAATAATGTTCTTTTTGTTGCGCCCACGTCTATAAACGTCTAGAGACAACACGATATATATAAATAACTCATTTTTGTAACATTATTTAATTAAATCATATACTTTTTGAGAATAATTAATGTGTCTGCACATCATGAATATGTTCGTATTCTCGATAACAGGAACAATTTTGACTAATCGTCACTTTATTTTATGATATTTGGAACATAAATATATTTACATGATGAAACATATTTCTTGCTGCAAATTTTCAGATATTGCGAAACGAATATACCTTGCAGATGATATATATTTTATATATTACAACTATTCAAAGTATAATCAATGCAAATTTAATTACAAGAAAGGCCTAATTATTCTCAAGAATTAATTTGTAAGGTTTCACCGTTTTATTTTATGTGTCTTAATTTCATTAGATATTTACATTAAGAAATAGAAATGATTGAATTTTTTTATAGGATTTATTGATAATGAGTAAAAGTTGTCCTTTAAAACAAATTTGACTCCAAAAAGACTGATTTGCAACAAAAATTTCGATTAAAGAATGTTGTTGACCCAAAAAAAGTGTTAGGCTCCTCGTGATTTTTGCATGATCGCTATATTATAATTTGAATATGTTTTAAAAGATATAAGCTCATGATTGTACAAACGTATACATACAAACAGCAATAAACAAGAATTATATATTCTCTAACGTATCATGAAAGTACAATGAATTTATCAAAATGAAATTAATAACTCAATAAAAAAAGTACTAAAATAGAGAATTATTTTAAATTTATAAATTCTGAATAATTATTTATATGTATTCAGACTTCAAAGATTTCTTAATACGAATAAAGAATTTTGACAAAATTTAATATTATATTATGATTTGTGAGTGATATATATGTATGAAAAGTGGAAACTAAACGTGAAAGGTGCCAAGTGAATATGTGTTGTGCTTATCATAAGAAAAATCCAGTGTAGTGAGGGGCGTGCATGTCTTGGTTTTTTTTTTTCTCACTGTTTTCCTAAGTTTGTGAATAAATAATTGTCTGATAACGTTTGATATTCAACACTATTCGCATTTAAGTCTAAATGTCTAATTAAGTAAAAATTGCATACCATAAAACTCATTTCTAGGGATGGTGCACTCATAATATAATTTTTTCAATTCCTAGGAACACGAACGAGACCGCTCAGACTCTCAATTAAGAAGGGATAGATTTCAACCATCTCACCATAACTCATGTTAGATTATTGGTGCATGTCTAATTGTTCTTTTATATTCTTTTTTATTTCTTTTATTTTGTTTTCTTAAATATGAACTAAATAATTTTGTATTAAGAAAGTCAAATATTCTGACTACAATTTGAATTTCATCAAGGAAAAAAAATATAAAAGTCATTAGCTTATTTAGAAAGATTTAATATCTATAACTTTTATATTAAAAAAACAAAATCTTTTGAAAACGTGAATAAAACTTGTATCCTAAAACGTTTTTTTCTTTCAATTTTCACAAATAAAACTTACTAAAAATAAAATTAGAATCAAAATGTCCAAATTAAACCTAAGAGAAATATCAAAATACTAAAATGGTGTTAAAATTAACGAGTACTATCAAAAGCTACGTGTTTATAATCTTAAAAAGATGTGTATAATGGATTAAAATACTTTTTAAATTTTGTGATCTTAAAAATAACGCTTGAAATATTGAAATTAAAAAGTTACGTGATGATGGTGCATAAAATAATTTTCTCATATTTATTCGCATATAACATGAGTAATTCAGTTTCACAAATTTTCTTTGTTCAAGCAGTCAAATATTTTAAAAGAAAAAAGGTTGAAGTCTATTAACATCTAAAAAGGTTCAAATCCTATTATAACAAAACCATATTAATTAACAAGCCTATGAATCCAACAAAATCAAGAATGAATCCTCAAAATACCTAACACTTTTAGCTTGTGCCTATGAAAAATTAACAAGTCTATGGTTAAAAAGGTTAATGACTTCAAAGTTTTTATTTATATATCATTAAAAAAATTAATTCCTATATAAATTTCTCCTTAATTAACTCAAAACACAGTCAACGGTCAGAGCTTCCATGCACCAAAAAGAAAACTTGCTCCAAGAACAAAGACTTGACTGTTTGTAGAAGTCACAAAATAGTTGTTTAGTTTCAAATTTCATGTGTATAAATAGATACATACTTGTTTCACAATGACACATCAATCTTTCTTATCATCCTCATTTTAATACAATTGTGCAAAAATATTAACAACCTATAGATATCAACAGTTGTAATAGTATCATGAAAACAGTCCTCATCTTACTTGTTCTTCTTGTTCTCTCAAGGATTGAATCAAATGAAGCCACAGGAAATCTTGATACTCATCTTCTATTGCCATCTTTGCATACCCGTCCTCCAGTTAAGACTCCAGCACCCGATCCAGGAACCGAGGCCAATGTGAATATGGCAAGCAAGTTTAATGAAAGGAATTACTTTGTTGGTCGTAAAGAAGTTGTTGTTTCTCCCCCTTCTCCTACTAATGCATATCCTCTTGATAAAACTCATCTTCTATTACCATCTTTGCAAACCCGTTCTCCAGTTAAGACTCCATCACCCAATCCAGGAATCGAGACCAGTGTGAATATGTCAAGCACGGTTACTGAAAGAAACTTTATTGATCGTAAAGAAGTTGTTTTTGCTCCCCCTCCTCCTACTAATGCATATCCTCTTGATAAAACACATTTTCTATTACCATCTTTGCAAACCCGTCCTCCAGTTAAGACTCCATCACCCAATCCAGGAAGCGAGACCAGTGTGAATATGGCAAGCACGGTTACTGAAAGAAACTTTGTTGGTCATAAAGAAGTTGTTTTTGCTCCCCCTCCTCCTACTAATGCATATCCTCTTGATAAAATACATTTTCTATTACCATCTTTGCAAACTCGTCCCCCAGTTAAGACTCCATCACCCAATCCAGGAAGTGAGACCAGTGTGAATATGGCAAGCACGGTTACTGAAAGAAACTTTGTTAGTCGTAAAGAAGTTGTTTTTGCTCCCCCTCCTCCTACTAATGCATATCCTCTTGATAAAACACATTTTCTATTACCATCTTTGCAAACCCGTCCTCCAGTTAAGACTCCATCACTCAATCCAGGAAGCGAGACCAGTGTGAATATGGCAAGCACGGTTACCGAAAGAAACTTTGTTGGTCGTAAAGAAGTTGTTTTTGCTCCCCCTCCTCCTACTAATGCATATCCTCTTGATAAAACACATCTTCTATTACCATCTTTGCAAACCCGTCCTCCAGTTAAGACTCCATCACCCAATCCAGGAAGCGAGACCAGTGTAATTATGGCAAGCACGGTTATTGAAAGAAACTTTGTTGGTCGTAAAGAAGTTGGTTTTGCTCCTCCATCTCCACTTCCTTCTACTAATGCATACCCACAAAATAATGTCCTTTTTGATGTGTCCATTGCTATTACTCAGAAATAAGCTTAGCATGTTTTATAAGAAGAACCTCCTTATTTGTAATATTTTTTAATTCATTCATACACTTAACAAAGAATAAATAAAGGCTTACATTCTAATAGTACCTGTGAGAATCTCTCACATAATAGGTGTATATTCAAATTCAATTGCTACTACTCAGAAATAAGCTTAGCATGTTGTATTGGTACATTACACAAATTACTTGGACAGGTTGTTGGTGTGGTGGATAAAAAGAAAAATGTTGATCAATTGTATTTGTTTAAGATATATTTGGAATTATTGTCATGATAAAGCGTTTTTAGTTTCTTATCTCAAATGCCAGTACTGCGCATAATTATCGGTTGTCATCCTTTAAATGCAATTGGACTCTTCAAAAATGTCATTAAATGTGTATTGAATCCTCCAAAAACAGTGCAGTTTTGGAGGATCCAATACGGTGTTATCAGTTATCATCTTTTAAAATACAATATGAACTCAGTATGTTGCTCGCAGTCTTCAAAAATGTCATAAATGTACCAAATCCTCCAAAAATAAGACAATTTTAGAAGACCCGACACAGATATAACCATATTTTAAAATAGTCCGAGCAACATATTACTACACATTTATCGTAAAGATGTATGTGAAAGCCTTGGATTAGCAAGACTACAGGAACTAGAATGTATAGTGGTGTAGAATGGACCGACACCGAATTATTC